TTTTTGTGTTTCCTTATTCGGTTTTGGTATTAGTGTAATATTGGCTTCATAGAACGTGTTTGGTATTGTCCCTTCCTTCTCAATTTTTTGGAAGAGTTTGTGAAGGATAGGCACTAATTCGTCTCTGAATGTTTGGTAGAATCATTTGTAAATCCATCAGGTCCTGGGCTTTTGTTTTGGGGAGGGTTTTTAATTACCCTTTCAATTTCGCTGCTTGTAATTGGTCTGTTTAGGTGTTCTATTCTTTTTATCTAGCTTTGGGTGATTGTAGAGTTGTAGGAATTTGTCCATCTCCTCTAGATTGTTTGAACTTGTTTCCATATAACTGTTCATAGTAGTTACTGATTATTCTTTTGATTTCTGCTGTGTCCGTTGTGATTTCTCCTCTTTCATTTATGATTCTGTGTATTTGTGCTTTCTCCCTTTTTTCCTTTGTGAGCCTGGCTAGGGGTTTGTCTATTTATTTTATTTTTCAAAGAACCAGCTCTTGGTTTCATTGATCTTTTGGATTGTTTTTTTAGTTTCAATTTCATTTATTTCTGCTTGGTTTTTATTATTTCTTTTTCTACTGGTTCTGGGGGTTTTTTTTTTGTTCTTTTTCTAGATCTTTGAGCTTCGAGATTAGGTTGTTTCCTTTGAGCTTTCTTGTTTTGATGTGAGCTTCTATTGCTATATTTCCTCTTATTACTGCTTTTGCTGCATCCCATACATTTAGGATATTGGTGTCCTCCTTGTCATTCAATTCAAAGAATTTTTTAATTTCTTCTTTGATCTCCTCGTTAGTCCAGTGTCTTCCCAGTAGTGTGGCTTTTAATCTCCATGAGGTAGGATAGTTCCTTGCCTTCTTTTTATATTTTATTTCTAGTTTGATGCCTTCGTGGTCAAAAAGATGGTTGGTATGAATTTCAATCTGGTGTATCTGTTGATGTTGTCTGTGCCCCAGTAATGTGATCGATCCTGGAGAATGATCCATGTGCGCTTGAGAAAAATGTGTACTCCGTTTTTTTTGGGTTTAGTGTTCTATAGATGTCTGTTAAGCCCAAATGCTCTAGGTCCTTATTTAGAGCTTTAGTTTCTTTACTTATTTTTTGTCTTGTTGATCTATCCATTGTTGATAGTGGTGTATTGAAGTCTCCCACTACATATGTGTTTTCTCTGATGTCTGTTTTCAGAGAGGACAACAGTTGTCTGATATATTTTGGTGCTCTTTCGTTTGGTGAGTATATGTTAATGAGTGTTATTTCTTCTTGAAGTATTGTCCCCTTAATCATAATGTAGTGACCATTGGGGCCTCTTTTTATTTTTTTGAGTTTGAAGTCTGTTTTATCTGATATAAGTATAGCTGTTCCTGCTTTCTTTTCTTTTTTGGCCCATTTGCTTGTAGGATTGTTTCCATCCTTTGACTTTGAGCCTATTTTTATCTTTTGTAGCTAAATGTGTTTCCTGGAGACAGCAAAAGGTTGGGTTTTGTTTCTAATCCAGGCTGCAACTCCTGTGTCTTTTTATTGAAGAGTTTAGTCCATTTACATTTAGAGTTATATTGATATGTTAGCATCTGTATTTCCATTATGTTGTGTCTTCCTTTGATTTTATTTATTTATTCTTTTAATAACTTTTTTTTTTTTTTTGGTCTTCTTTCGTTGTTATTCGTCCCTCTGAGGTTCTGGCTTTAGGATTCCTTGTAGTATTTTTGGAGTGGGGGTTTAGTCGCAATGAATTCCGGAGTTTTCTCTTTGTCTGGGAAGGTCCATATTCTTTCTTCATGGAGGAAGAGAGCTTTGCGGGATAGAGTATTCTTGGGGCATCTGTTTTCTGGAGTCTGTTGACTATGTCCCTCCACTCTCTCCTTGCCCGTAGTGTTTCTTCAGAGAAGTCTGATGTCAGCCTGATTGGTTTTCCTTTGAATGTTATCTGTTTCTTCCCTCTTGTCAGTTTCATTATTTTTTCCTTGTCCTGGATTCTTGGGCTTTTACTATTATGTGTCTTGCTGTGTTTTCCTTTCCGTCGTGGGAAGTTTGGTGTTCTTCTTGCTTCTTGTATATCAATTTTCAGCTCCTTCTTCTCATTTGGGAAGTTCTCTTCAATTATATCCATGAATATTTCCTCTGTTCCTACATCTCCTCTCCTCTCCTTCTGGAATCCTAAACTAACTCTTATATTCCTTTCCTCATGGAGTCAGATAGTTCCCGAAGTCTTTCTTCATTCTTTTTCCTTCGTACTTCTCTTTCCTTTTCTGTTTTGGTTCTTTTTATTTCTGGTCTTCAAGATTATTATTCGTCTTCCATTTCATCTATTCTGCTTTCATTGCTTTTCCCAGAGTTCTTTAGTTCCTCCATTAATTCTTTGATCTCCTGCATTTCTCTTACTTCCCTCTTTAGGGACTCAATTTCCTTCTTCTGATCTATCACTTTTTTTAATCATGGCAATTTTAAATTCTCTTTCTGGAAGGCTCAGAAGTTCTTCCAAGTTGCTGTCGTTGCAATCTGGGGAGTGGTTTTCTTTTTGTGGTGTGCTTCTTTCCTGAGGAGTTTTTAGGTTGCGTGTGGTTCTTCTACTCCCTACTGTCTGTTTCTAATTTGGTCGTATGCGTTGGGACACTGTGTTGCTCGGACTGACTGACATCTTGGTGAACTTCTCCGCTCCCCTCTGGCTCTTCCAGGAGCCATCTCTGTCTTCTGGGGGAGCTTTCTGCTGGTTTTAGGCAGTTTTACTGAAGAAATGTCCTGTTCTCAAATGGCGAAGCAGGATGCAGTCCCTGCGCCTCCGGTTTCAGGCACACTCTTCTGCGCCCCCGGTCTGGCCCGGACGTGGTGCCTGCTCCCTCTGTGGCTCAGACTGCTTTGGTCGGAAGGGGCCTGGCGTGGAATAACTTCCCGGCTGGCCACTGCAGAAGCCTTCTGCCCCTTTCAAGCAGTCTTAAGAAATTTCCTGTTCTATGGGGTGTTAGTGACTTTTTTTTTTCCTGGTCACTAGGTGGCGCCAGAGATCTCTCTATTGTCCTTGGGGGGCTGTTTTTCGTCCCCCCACCCCGTGGGACAGGGAACAGAGCGGGAATGGTAGGGTACACCTCAACCAGCTTGGGGTGCTGTGTCTGCCTTGTGCCCACCGTCGTGGAGAACCCACCCCCGAATTTTCGTGCCCCGGGTCTCAGTTCAAAGCCCTCAGTTCCAGGACGCGGGCTGTAGCCCAGTTCAGTGGCGCGGGAAGGGCGCCTTTTGCACCGCTCCCGTGCCCGGGTGCCTGGTTCCTGCTCACTCAGGGAGGGACCTTCACCTCAGTGAGGACCTCCGCGCGTCTCCCAGCAAGCCTAGGTCGTCTCCCCGCAAGCCTAGGTCGCAGGCGCGGGTACCTGGGCAGCCGCGATTCCGGTCTGCACTTGCTTTTCAAGCTCCCCGAGCGCGCCGCGTTCCCGCGCCAGCTTACCAGGCAGCCCGGGCTGTGTGCGCGTCTCCCTGGGTCTTTGTTCTTCTCTAATGGCGCCCGGAGCCGTTCGCTCACCGCCGCGGCGGATCCTGCAGGGTTCGCCTCAGCTCCCGTTCATGGGGTGTGGTGGCTGCAATAGTTCCTTTCCACTCACAGTCCCGCTTGCTGCGTCGTTTGTTCTTGTTGGTTGTTTTGGTTTGTTGTTTTTCTCCCTCTCTGCCGGTCAGAGAGTGCCGCCTCTGTGGGCGGGGGGGGAGCAGGGTTCTGCGCTTCCCTCCCTTCTAGTCCTCTTTTATGGCCACTTTCTTCTTCGGGTAGTTTGCTGGCGTCACCCGTTTATCTTCCGTGTCCCAGTTCTCACTGGGACCTGCCGCTTTTCCTCCCTATTAACTTTTTTTTAATGGGAGATCTTACTCGCAGCGTCTCCTCGCCGCCATGTTGCTCCGCCCCCTCCCCCTAGGATAGCATTTAAACCCAGACTTCCTGCTGCTAAGGTTTTAGTGCTCTTTAATTACTGTCGCTCAAAGATTTTAATAAATAATATATAGTGTTAAAGATTCCCTAGCAGCAAGCTCTTTAACACTGCTGATTAGAGTATGAGTTAGTAGACATTTCTGTAAGATAGTTATGTAATATGTTTGAAAGCCCTAACATGGTCATATTCTTTGAACTCAGAATTTATCCTAAGGGGATCCTCATAATAAGTACATAAAAATGTATATTAAAAATTTTTATCTGAAATTATTTTTAATAGTATCAGACACTAAACAATTTAAATGTCTGATAAGATTGGATTAACTTTGGCAATAATCTAATTACACTTACATTCTTACTGAAGATAATAAAATACTGCTACTCATAAATTGAGAAGAAAGTTACCTATCCCCTGCTCTCCAAATATGTTAAGTGTTTTTAGTATTTGACTTTCCAACCCATTCTTAGAAAATTGAAATGTCATTGTTTGGTTCTCTCTTTTTAGCTATAGCTACATTGCATGAATAAGATTGAGATAGTTTAACTTTCAACAAAGATTTTGAATATCCTTTTTTCAGTTAGTAAATCACTAAAGAATTAGAATTTGAATCACATTAAATTATTATAGAAGACATGCTTTATCTCTATTAACTCTCATTTTTTTTATGTCTAGCATATCTGTTAAGATGCCTTAGGGAAAAATCATGGATAAATATGTTAGAATACAGAAGATTGGAGAAGGTTCATTTGGAAAAGCCATCCTTGTTAAATCTACAGAAGATGGCAGACAATATGTTATCAAGGAAATTAATATCTCAAGAGTAAGTATGTTTCTCTTTTGGTTATTTAGGTAATAGTTTGATTATGAAAGTGTTCACTGTTAGAGAATAAAAAATACATAACCTAAAGTGAAAGAACTGCTATAATCCTCAGAGAGATTATCTGATTTAATAATATTTTGTATATCCTTTCAGATTTTTTTTCTTTTGTGTTTTTTTTCTTCTTTTTTTTATTCTTTCGGATTTTTTTGTGATGTATGTTTTTATGTATGTGTGTTAAAAATATAAACGGCATCTGCTGTTCTTTAATGTATCTAGGTTGAACATCTTAAAATGTTTTTAACATGGATTCAACTCATTCTTTTTAACTTCTGCTGTATTTTGTTATTTGGACTGTGCTTTATTGGTACCATTATCTTTTAACCATTCTCTTATTGATGGACTTCTAGGGTTTTTTTTTTTTTTTTTTTTAAGCATAAATGTCAGTTCATTACTTTATTTTTTTTTTTTATAGTTTAACTTTTTTTATTTTTTTATTTATTTATTTTTTTAATATTAAATTTTATTTTTATATTCCCCCATACAATTGCAAACGCCCCATTCTGACCCCAATCCTTCCCCTCCCGCCCCCCACCCCCCAAAAAGTGTCTCTGGTTCATAGTTTTTTGTTGATTTTGATTTTCACTTTCTTATATTCATTTTCCTGGTCCCTTATTTAAGTTTTCTAGATTCCTGCTATGAGTGAGACCATCCGGTATTTTTCTTTTTCTTTTTGGCTTATTTCGCTGAGCATGATCCCTTCCAGCACCATCCATGTTGCTGCAAATTGCATGTGTTTATCTTTTTTGAATGCTGAGTAATATTCCATGGTATATATGTACCACATCTTCTTGATCCAGTCGTCTATTTTTGGGCATTTGGGTTGTTTCCAAAGCTTAGCTATTGTAAACAGTGCTGCTATAAACATAGGGGTGCAGGTGCTCTTTGGAATTGATGTTTCTGTGTCCTTTGGGTAAATACCTAGGAGTGGAATTGCTGGATCATATGGAAGCTCTATGTTTAGTAGGTCCAGAAATCTCCACACAGCTCTCCATAGTGGTTGGACCAGTTTGCACTCCCACCAACAGTGCAGAAGAGTTCCTTTTTCTCCACATCCTCGCCAACATTTGTTGTTGCTAGTTTTTTTAATATGTGCCATTCTCACTGGTGTAAGATGGTATCTCATGGTAGTTTTGATTTGCATTTCTTCTAGGGTTTTTTTTAATGAATCATTTAATGTAACATTTTCTTTTTCCCTCCCATTTCAGATGTCCAGTAAAGAAAGAGAAGAATCAAGGAGAGAAGTTGCAGTGTTGGAAAACATGAAGCATCCAAATATTGTCCAGTATAAAGAATCATTTGAAGGTCAGATAAGTTTTGCAAGGATGTTGAAAAGAACTCATAAATCATGACAAATTTTGGATACTTTCCTTATAAGGAATGCTTTGTGAATGTATTCTCAGAAAGAAAAGAATATTGGTATTGCTTCAGTAACTATAAGTGTACATACCAGATTGATTCTAGGATGATACTGATACACTATGCTATTTCTGTGTGATTTAGTACTGACACACTATTATGATTGCTTGAAAAGAAACCATGTTGTAGGTGCAAGAATTTAGACAAAGTGAGAATAGCAGTTTGCATTTTTTGAAAATAAACTCCCTTAAGTGCTGCCATTGAGAAAATATTCTGATCTTTAGAAAGTAGGTATTCGTTAGTTTGCTTCTATAAGCATTGGAGTGTTCTAGTGTTTTCCTCATAATATATAGGAATATTGGAAGGGTTCTTAAGTTCTTAAAATGCCATAGCTGTATTGCTATATTGGAAATACATACCATTATGTTTGGAATGCAGGAACTAAGATAAGTCAAAGCTTCTTTAAGAGCAGGTCAAAGTAGTTTATCTAAGTCCTACTGAAGTTATTTCCATTATCATGAATTTCTATATATTGCAAAACAGAAAGATAGTTTAGATTGAAAGTTAAATGAGTCTTTTAGGATCACATCACATACCAGTTTCAGAGTCTGAATTAGAGCGAAAGTATCTCTGTTCCCACATAAACTTGTCATTTGCTGCAGTAGAACATATTTTTTAAAATGTATGGTTTAATTAGCACATTATATCATAAGATAATCAGTTATGTTTTATGATGGCGTTGAAATGAGGATTTTTACCTTATGTAAAAGTACAGTGTTAACACTCTCTTCCTTCCCAAGACCTTGAATGTCCTTTATTCCTCTTTACCCTAGTATCTTTTAGTTTCTTCTTTCTTTCATCACTCAAATTTTAATATTTAATATTTAAAAGGTTTGAATGTATGTCAACTAATATTCCAGCAGATGATTTGTATTTATGTCCAATTCCTTCACATAGAAATACCTGAATGGATACATCTGAAAAGTTATAAACCCTTACTCCTAAATCATATACAGTATTACAGACCAGTGTTACCTCAATTAAAAAAAGATACCATTTAAATGATTTTTTTTTTTAAAATCTGAATGATTCAAGTGGGGTTGCACATTCTTTGAATAAGGTTGTATTATTACTGCCACTTCATTTTAAAAGATTGCATGCTCAGGTAAACATCTACAAAATAGAGTTGTGCGTGAACCCTAAGTCATCTGCTCTTCCCATTCCCTAAGAGTAAGCCTATTAATAATTCAGTGTTTTTTGTGTTTTGTTTTGTTTTTTACTGTTTTTACTGTGCTTATATGGCACAAACATACATAGAGCTTCTAACAGGATGTATAACTTCTAAAAATAAGTGGCATCATATGCTTATTTTTTGCATCTTATTCTTTTCACTTTATAGCTCATGGTTTTCTTTCCCTGTTACTCCTATTGATGTACCTTATTCCCTACACCTTTCTTGTAACAACTGCAGTGTATTCTACTGTATGCATTATATGGCTCTGTCATGATTTGTTTAATGAGTTTTCTATTTTGGATACTGAAGTGGTTTTTAGTATTTCAGTGTTAACAGATAATGTAGCGTTGAATAAACTTGTACTAGTGTTTCTTTCTATATATGAATGTAATTGTTAGACTAAAGGGAATGAGAGTTCCTGTGTTTCACACACTTTCCAACTGTGATTTATAAGTTCATTTAAGAGTTTATAGGGTATAAATTTATCTGGTGATTCTGTGTACTTGATTACGGTCCCTATTTCTGCCTCACCTGCATGATCTGATTTTAATTGCAGTAGGACTTTGATCCTCTTTAGTTTCTCACATAGCTTTAAGGAGCTCCGAAACACAAATATTTGTTTTATGAATGGATGAAAAATAACCTGTAAGTGCAAACGTTTAAAATCTGTCAAAGTAAGCAAGTTGGTTTAAAAACGCCAGGTTTCATATTATTTTGAATGTCTTCCATGAAAGATGAGAGTAAATTAGTATATTTACTCTTTATCCCTACTAACTGATTTTTATACATTTTGATATGTTAAGAATAATTATCTTATGTTCTAAAATTATAATTCTAAAGTTTTTTGGCCTTTGTTCTGTTTTTAGACAGATTTAGTTCTTATGTCTAGTTCAATTTTAATGTAAAGGAGACTGTATTTTGTTGTTTTTTTTTTTTTTTTTAAGTTTATTCATTGGTGTGATAAGGGTGGTGTCCTATATTTCTGTATCCCTAGCATCTTGTGCAAAGTGTCTGGCACATAGCTGGGATTCAGATGTTGAATGATTGAATAAACCCAAAATAGATTAATATTTCCTTTATGGAGAAAAGATTTTTTTGTTAAACTTAAATTGTAAGAAGTATTTATTCCCTAAATAAATAAATACTTTTAGGTGGATAACATTACAGAGCTCATGTACTAAAGTTCAAACATTTTGCTTCCTTGATTGTTTCCCTATCCCTTTCACTGCTCTTGTTAAGCCTTCTCTGTCTCCTTTTGTCTGTCTTTTTGTTAATTAAAGCTTTGCTTTTTGATACATGCATATGGTACAAAATTCAAGTGTTACTTGACAGTAAAAAGTTTGCCTTCTATTTCTGTCTTCAAACCACTTATTTTCTTTTTCTAGGGTTTACTATTATCATTGTCTTGTGTTTCCTTCCAGAATATTCTAAACATTAGCAAGCATACATAAATGATAACATACTGCTTGTGATTTTTTGCTTTTTGTTTCTTAAGCTACACAAATGGTAATGTCCTATACATGTTTTATAAAAATAGTGGATTGTACAGTTTCCACATTATAATTTCTCACAAGTATATTTGTTTTTTGTTTTTTTTTTTAAACTTTTTTTTTAAATTTTTTTTTTATAGAGGCATGTTTTTATTTATTTATTTGTTTGTTTGTTTTGTTTATACATGCACTGGGTACAGTCAGAAGCGCGGGAGGGTGAGAGAATTCACCAGAGCCAGAGTGGGGAGCAGAGCAGGCAGAAGGACCAAAGTACACTGCTGAGGGGAGCAGCGGGCGGCAGGAGAGGTCTGCGCGCCATGTGGGACCCTCCTCCGGTGGCCGGGGAGCAGCCGGGGATAGAACCTGCGCCGCAGAGGCCGCGGGCAGCTTCGCAACCCAGCGCTCAACCGCTGCGCCACCGGGGAGGACCCCTCTCACAAGTATATTTGGATGATCTTTCCGTATCAACCATAAAGAATCATATAGATTCTTTTTTTTTTTTTTTTTTTTAATTTTATAGAGGCATGTTTATTTATTTATTTGTTTGTTTGTTTTTTGTTTATACAAGCACTGGGTACAGTCAGAAGCACGGGAGGGTGAGAGAATTCACCAGAGCCAGAGCGGGGAGCAGAGCAGGCAGAAGGACCGAAGTACACTGCTGAGGGGAGCAGCGGGCGGCAGGAGAGGTCTGCGCTCCATGTGGGACCCTCCTCTGGTGGCTGGGGAGCAGCCGGGGATCGAACCAGCGCCGCGGAGGCCTCGGGCAGGTTCGCAACCCAGCGCTCAACTGCTGCGCCACCGGGGAGGCCCAAGAATCATATAGATTCTTAATTATCTTCATGATGTAGGTTCCCAATTCATGGCATATTAGAAGCACTTTATCAGAGGTGATGTGAGTACTATGAATAACAAGAATATCCCCAGAGGGGGTAAGAAATAAATACTGCTGGGAATAAGGTTGTAAGCACAGGGTAGTAAGCAAAGGGTGAACTAGGAAAAGTCTCCTTTGAATTGCAATAGTCTCTAGTAAGTAGTGGTTTAGTAATTGTTAGATGTGTTGTAGGCTACTCTTGCTTACTTAGCTGAAGGTTTAGCAGTAGAGATAGGGTTAGACATCTGTCTAGTCCTGTCTACCTATGAGAAAAGTGTCTTTCTCTGTGGACAAAGATGCCTTGGTCTTCATTTTGCTCACATGATTTATTATTTTCTTTTTTTTTAAAGATTTATTTATTTATGTATACAAGAGATGGGGTGTAGGCCAGAGGTGGGGGGCAGTGAGAGGATTCACCAGAGACATAGTGGGGTACTGAACAGGCAGATCTACTGAAATACACTGCTGAGGAGAGCAATGGACGAGATAGGAGAGGTCTGCTGCGCCATGTGGTTTGCTCCCTGGCCGGGGATCGAACACATGCTGCAGTGGCTGATAATAGCTTCATGGTAGCAAGACTTAACCCCTTGTGCTGCCAAGGAGGCCCTTCATTTATAATTTTAAAAAGTAAAATCAAAGAAACTCTGAGAGAATAGAGACAATCTTATATATACTTGAATCCTCCGATTTCATTACAGCATTTTTTACTATAGTTGTCTAAAAAGAATTAGTGAATAAAATGAGACCAAAAGTAATAGTCAGTTGAAAAGTAAGATAACCCATCTCTGACAACTTGGTGGTAAAACATGATTTAATAGATGCCATTTAAGGACTATCTGTTAAATGAAATGTGTGTCTGCATTTTGTGTGTGTTCCAGAGATATTTAGACCAGTGTGGACACTCCTAACCAGTAGGATGATATGTTCTCAGTAGAAAAATCATTAATGGTAAAATTGTCTTTTAACCTAAGTTACTATATAATCTCTCTGACCACAAAACCTTGACTTTACACACCTCTGAGTGTGTTTCTGTTTTTCATTTAATAGAACACAGTTAAGTGTTACTCTTTAGTAAGCCTTTAAGTATCCTTTGATTTGGCTATGCTTTTGATTTTAAAGATGAGTGTAATGTTTATATTTTATAGAAAATGGCTCTCTCTATATAGTGATGGATTACTGTGAAGGAGGGGATCTGTTTAAACGAATAAATGCTCAGAAAGGCATTTTGTTTCAAGAGGATCAGGTGAGTTATCCTTTAAGAGATTGACTCTTACTCCATAATACTCTTGAAAAGTAGTTCAGTATTTTTTTATATATGTATTTATTTGTAGCTACAAATGTTAATTGTAATTATTAAGACAGTTTGATATCATATTCTAGCATTTTGTCATATTTCTATGCTGATTAGCTTCTACCTAAGTTCCATTCCCCATCTGATTTCCTATTGTAATAATATTGTTATGTATATACACATATACACATTGTGTTTTATGTGTATATGTATACATATATATGTATTCAACATAGAACCACGTGTATAATTTCATTATTCATTATAATTGATCTGTCTGTATCCTTTTAATCTGGTTTACTACTTCCAAAATACCAGGTCAGTACTACCAAAATACCAGGTAATATTTTCCTAAAATGTGGTTTGGCCAGATATGTCCATCTCAATATGTCTTGCATTGGCAACTGCACTAAGTCTAATCTTTGCTTAGATTTCAAAGATCTCTAAAACATGACTCTTCTAATTGTTTTAGTTGTACTAACTCTTTAGTTACTAACTAGTGACTCATTTTTTTCTCTAGCCTTTAATGTATACCCTTTTTTATTTATTTAGTAGATATTTATTGAAGTTTTATTTTGTGTTTGGCACTGGGACATATGTTTATACATTTTATTCTCCTGTGTAGTTATTCTATTTCTTTCATTCTGGTGCTATCTTCCTACCAACTCTCTGTTACTAGTATTCTACCCTTATTTTATTTATTTATTTTTTTAAAAGATTATTTATTTATACAAGAACCGGGGTACAGGCCAGATGTGCAGGAGGTGAGAGGATTCACGAGAGACAGAGCAGGGAACAGAACAGGCAGACTGACAAAATACACTGCTTAGGGGAGCAGCGGGTGAGACAGGAGAGATCCACCGTGCCATGTGGGACCCTCGCTGGCCAACCGGGATCGAACTGGTGCTGCAGAGGCTGCAGACAGCTTCACAGCGCTGTGCTCAACTGCCTGCACACCAGGGGAGGCCCTCTACCCTTATTTTAAAGCTCAGCAAAACTTCCAAGTTTTTCTTTAAATTTTGCATAACTAATCTTACATGATCTTTTCCATTTCTAATTCCTATTGCATTTCTCTTTATCGCCCATTCTTAATTTTAATTGCATGCATTTACATAGAGAGATGGAGGGAACATTGTGCTAGGATTTTTTTTTAATTCTCATAACCCCATGAATTATTGTAGTTTTCTTTAATAGACAAGAAAGCTAAGAGACATTAAGTAACTTGCACAAAATTCATATAGTTGTTTGAATCTGCTTCTAATACTAAAGTTCAAAAGACTTTCTTTTCGCGAACTTACATTATGAAAGTATTAGAAAATTCAGAATCGGAAAGTCTTCTTTCCCCACTGTTCCCTCCCCGAGGTTGCCACTGTTTTCAGTTTGATGTATTCTTCCACTTTATTTTTCATACTTGCATATGTACATAAATTACATCAAGACCCATTTTCAGAAATGGGATATTATGTATGCCATATATAATATGCAATTTATCTTGATTATCATTACACATCAGTCCATTCAGTTACATTAGTTTTATTTTTTTTTTAAGATTTATTTATTTATGTATACAAGAACTAGGATACAGACCAGAGGCTTGAGGGGTGAGAGGATTCACCAGAGACAGAGTAGGGAACAGAACAGGCAGATCGACTGAATACACTGCTGAGGGCAGCAGCAGGCGAGACAGGAGAGGTCTGCTGCGCCATGTAGGTTGCTCCCTGGCAGGGGATCGAACTCATGCTGCAGTGGCTGCAGATAGCTTCATAGGTCTCATCTTAATCCCTTGTGCCACCAGGGAGGCCCCATTCAGTTCCATTAGTTTTAATAGCTACATTATATTCCATTCCAGCAAAGCCCATGCTTTGCTTTGCTTTTTTTTTTTTTTTTTAAACTCTTTGTATTCCATTCCTTCTCAGAGCATTATCTCTTTAGTTTACTTATTCATCTTCCTCAATAGTAATTGACAAGAGCTGGCAAAAAATGTCTTGTGAGTCAAACTCAGCTGTTTGTGTTTGTAACCAAAATTTTATTAAAACACACTTACACTAGGAGAAAAAAAAACACACACACTTATTTGTTAGCATTTATTCCGTGGCTGTTCTTATGCTAGAGTGCTAAAGTTGAATTGAGATAGATGATCTGGCCTGCAAAGCCTAAAATATTTACAAAGTAAATTTACTAACTCCAATCTATGAGCGCTTTCAGTAATTTTTTTGCCAGCTCCTGTACCTATCAGGAACATGGTTGGTGCTACCTGCATTTTATCAAATTATAAAGGAGTACAGGTATGGGAGATATGGTAGTGGTTGAACCCTATCTGTAAAATGAGGCATAGGTGATTTCTATGATGTTTTCCAGCTCTGCAGGTAGACTGTATAACAGTAAGACTCCCCTGACATTAATTTTCACTTTCTTTCGTACCTTTGCCTGACTTCAACCTGCTTGAATTAATTGGTATTTTCAGTGTACATATTGCTGTTATAAAACATGTTTATTTATTGATATTTGTTTATAAGTGTATTTCTATCACCATATGAACTTAAACTCACTTTAAGTTTAAACTCATTTCTCCACTTACAGTGCCTTATGTAAATGTGGAACAAAAGCTTCATGTTTACTGTCGTACTCTAAATATCTATTGAATTGAATTGAGAAACTTGTTTTTATAAAGACTATAAATTTAAAAAGATTATATTATTTTCAAATAATATGTAATGTTTGTTCTTTTTTGAAAATAGTACTGAAATAAGAGTAAAAAGTTAAAATTTCACTCTTCTTTGGAAGTTTCTATATTCTGATTTATAAGAAATGCTTCCATATCAGTCTCTCACATTTTTTAAAAGTTAGCATGTGCCCTTCATATAATGTGGCAGTTGTATGACTATCTACTTAATGTTAGTGAGTACAAATTAAAAATAAACTCAAAGCTTAAATTCTTTTTAAGGATTTAGTTCCCCTCAACCCACATATTTCTGAATCCTTTTCGGGGTCAAAAGAAATGACATACTTGCTTTTTCCCCCACTAGATTTTGGATTGGTTTGTGCAGATATGCTTGGCTCTGAAACATGTACATGATAGAAAAATTCTTCATCGAGACATAAAATCGCAGGTATGTTTATTCTGTCACTAGTAACTGTTATATAGATGGGTATGTATATGGAGCCAGCATAGTCTTAGGCCAAACATTTTTAATCTTATTCAGTCTACTTTAGATAATCTGTCTTCTCCCTTCACTGTCTCCCCTTTACTTAGTCCTAGAATTCCTCTTCATCTTGTCTTAGATATCCTTCCTACTTCCTTTATTTGCCTCTTTCTTGGTTTACTGACTCATTATGATAAAAAAGTAAAAAATTGGTGTGTAGATGGTGTATTTTTTGAGATTTTAATATCTGAATATGACTTTTCCATTCTCTTAATGATAATTTGGATATAAACTTCCAGGTTGTTGGAAGTGTATAACTATTTTTTAGAGAATTTTGAAGATACTGCTCATTTATCTTTTGGCATCTATTTTGGAATTTAAGGCCATTATGATTTCTTATCCTTGATTTTTTTCCCCCTCTGGAAGGTTTTAGGGCATTCCGTCTTCATTGTTGTGACATTTTACTTCCTTGTTCATTTCTGAAACTTTTGCATTGGTGAGGTTCAATTTTTACTATTGATCTGAGAATGTATATTTCCTGTAAAAAATATTTAATAATGTTTTTTCAAATGTTATTTCTCTATCACTTCCTTTATGGCCATCTGTAGTATTTTCTAGTATGTGTTAGAGCTTCTTAATCTATCCCTTTGTGTTTCTTAATTGTTTTTTCATACTTTATCTCTTGTCTCTCAGTTGCATTTTAGACTCCTCAATCTTTTTAGTTAACTAATCCCTTTTAATTTTATATAAACTAGTGCTTATCTCTCTGTTTTTTATCATTCAAGATAGTCTTTCATATACACCAGTTCTTATTTTTGATTTGTCATAATGTCTTATTCTTTTTCAGTGGATAATTTTACCTCTACAATTTTCTAACGTTCGTTTTCTAAATTATGTTTAATAAGGTAACATTGACTTACAACACTGTATATGCCTTCGGGGTATAGGCTTACACCTCTACAATTGTTTATCATAATGGTGCAATTGTTTATCATTACGGTTCTTCCACTTAATCCATTTACCCTCTCACCCTATTTGGCTCCCCACCTCTCACCTTCAGTTCTATAGTCAGATTTCTAGTGTTTGTTTTGTTTTTATTAGTTCCTTTGCTTTATTTCTTTTATTCCACATATGAGTGAATCATCTGGTATTTGTCTTCACCCTTCTGACTTATTTTGCTTAGCGTAGTCCCCTCCAGTTCCTCACATACTGTGGGAAATGGCAAGATTTTATCTTATTTTTTTAATAGCTAAGTGGTATTCCACAGTGTATATAAACATATCTTTATCCACTCATCTGTCCTTGGGCATTTAGGTAGTTTTTATAACTTAGCTATTGTAAATAGTGCTGCAATAAACACAGGAGTGCATATATCCCTTTGAATTAGTGTTTTTGTATTCTTTGGGTCCATACTTTTTTGTTCCTCTGACTCTCTGACTTTCTAATACCTAATCTCATTTCACTTACTCCATCTTACTCCATCCCAGTCAGTGCAATCTTTAGCTGTGAGCCTATGCTAATATGAAATTTAATTTGTGTTATCACACAAACTCTTGGTTCACTGTTTCATATAGGGTTGTAGTTCTGTTTTTATAAAGTGAAACAGTTGGATAAATCATTGGAAAATTTTGAGGTTAAATTTTACATTTAAGCTATTTATTCAATAGAATTTTTCGGCAGGTTGTTTTTCGTTGTTGGGGAAGAACATCTGGATTCTTTTTTTTTTTTAAAGCTTTATTGACTTTTTTACACACAATAAAACTACCCACCTAAAGTTGTACAGTTCAGTGATTTTTAATATGTTCACAGAGTTGGGAAATCATCACTACTCTCTAATTACAGAACATTTTTACCACTCCCAAAAGAAACCTTATACCCATTAACAGTCAGTTCTTCCCCTGCACTCCCCTCACCTTTAGACCGCAGAAATCACAAATTTATTTTTTGGCTCTATGGATTTGTCTATTCTGGACTTTTTATATTAATGGAATCTTAAAATATGTGTCTTTACCTATTTTTAAATAGGATTATTTGTCTTTTATTATTGTTGACTTGTAGGAATTCTTTATTCTGGATACAAATTCTTTCTCAGATACATGATTTGCAGATATTTTATACAATTCTATGAGTACTCTGTTCAGTACTTGATGGTGTTCTTTGATGCATAAAAGTTTTCAGTTTTGATCAAGTCTATTTTATCTGTTTTTTCATTTTTTTTCTTGGCTTTTGGTGTCATATCTAAGAAACTATTGACTAATCCAATAGCATGAAAATTAATCCTTCAGTTTTTCTTTAGTTTATAATAAAGCTATAAACTAGAAAAATAAAACTTCTCACAGTTAGGTTTGGAATCCATTTTAAGTTCATTTTTTGGCATGGTATGAAATAGGAATCTTTATTCATTCTCTTGCTGATGGATATCTGGTTTTTAACAGTATTTTTATGAAAAAAAAGTTGCCAACACAATAGTGGACTGTAACAGTGTTTCTGGATTTTTTCCCACTTTCTTTCATAGAACATATTTTTAACCAAAGATGGGACAGTACAACTTGGAGATTTTGGAATTGCTAGAGTTCTTAATAGGTAACATATCAATTTTAAGCTTTATTCACTAAAAATTTAATCCATGATGTTGTGTATGTCATGATTTATAATATCTTTAGGTATCTTAAGCTTCTCCAATAATTCTCTTTTTGATCTAGTACTGTAGAACTGGCTCGAACTTACATAGGAACCCCATACTACTTGTCACCTGAAATCTGTGAAAACAAACCTTACAATAATAAAAGGTATTTAAAACGATATTCATTACACAATATGTTACCTTTGTCTCTGTTATACTATATTAACCAACCTTCAGGATACTATTCTAAAATATGTAATGAACATATGTAAACATATAAATATGTATTTGTATATTTGCATTTTTGAAAATACATGAGGAGAATTGTAAAGAAGTGAAAGGAATGATAGACAGAGTTCTTTATCTTGCTAAAGTAACCATAGAATCACTTTGTTATTTAAGACGTAATTAGAAATCAAGTGCTTTCTTTGATATTTTTAGCGGTAATAGTAATTTCCTATTGAATTGTAATAATTATTATTAGTTATTATTGATTAAATACTTAATACACGCCAGGCACTGTTTTGAATGTTTTTTATGTATTGATTATTTTAATTTTCACAGTAATTTTATGAACTGTAGGTATTAATCATTCCTCCTTTCCTTACAGAAGCCAAACTAGAGAGAAGTAAAATGACTTCAGAGTTTCAGCCATTTAGCTCCCAAATCTGAATTCCTAATCACTGTGCTGTTTTTATGACTAACAGATTGTATAATAGGTTACCCTTTATTTTCTCCCATTCCTTGCAATTGAATAATCTCAACCAAGAAACATTGGTCTGAATTTTGAAAAATTCAGAAGCTAAAAGAAGTAGATAGAGGGAAGCATGTGTTCACAATTGCTCTCCCTTCCTCCCCAGCCCCCCCCTTTTTTAAGGATTGGGAGGAAGCTGTATCAAACCTGAGCAGCAGAAGCAAAGAATGTCATTGTAGCATTGTATTTTAAAAAATAAGTTTAATTACAATGATCAATCTAGTTCATAAACTGTATTACATTGAATATTCTTTTTTTTTTTTTTAATTTTGCAGGTACATGTTTGCTCTTCCATATGTGTGCATGTTTATTAGTGGGTATTTTAAAGGATTAACATTTTCTTTGAGCTAAAATAATTTTACATTTTAATGCAATTTCTGTACTTTATTGATAATTCAACTATAAAAAATACTTCAGGAATGGATTTAATCATCCTTTGAACAATTTTATATAAAATAAATTGTAGGAAAAAGTCTTTAAAAATATATGAATTAGAATCATCAATTATGCTTTGAAATTCTTATTTTTCTAAATTTATTTTATTTCTCGGATCATGAGTTTAATGTTTTTGTTCATACTGTCGTTTGTAGCACATACAAGTTCCTAAATAGCTTAATTTCATTTTCACTTTTTTTCCCAGATCAATTTTAATATGAAATAGATTTGGGGGTTACAAATTTATGTCAGTTTGGGTAAAAATAACCTTAGGATTTCAAGAATATTTAATTCTCTTCTATAAATTCAGCTTTCAGAATCAGTGGTTTTTACTTTTCTTGATCACTAGAGAAAGTCTTTTTGTTATGAAAATGTGTATTTTAAGATAAACAAGGGGAAAAGACCATGTATAAAGAAGATAGTGTAAATATGTTTTTTTTTTTTTTTTTTAAGATTTATTTATTTATTTATACAAGCACTGGGTACAGTCAGAAGTGCGGGAGGGTGAGAGAATTCACCAGAGCCAGAGTGCGGAACAGAACAGGCAGAATGGACTGAAATACACTGCTGAGGGGAGCAGTGGGCGTGGCAGGAGAGGTCTGCTCGCCATGTGGGACAATCGAACCGGCGCTGCAGAGGCTGCGGGCAGCTTCGCAGCCCAGCGCTCAACCGCTGCGTCACCAGGGGAGGCCCTGTAACTATGTTCTTAAAAGTAGAATAAAATTAATACATACCATAATTTTGATTAGATCTCACAGGCTTATTTCAGATTTAATTTTAAAAATTAATATTTTCTTCATGTTAATTTGAGCAGTATTTTGCTTTACATATTTTTAAAGGTTATTTTGCAAATAAAGCAGTATGACTTGCAAAATAAAATAAATGGAATATCTATGAAATTTCCTAATTTCATTCTTTTAAATATTAAATTTCCTTATTGAAACTTTAATTATTGAGGAAACCATTAATTTTCTAATGTGGGGTAGCTACTTTTGACATTTGGCTTGTTTAAATTTTAAATTTTAAAGGATGTTCTTTATGAAACATTTTTTCAAAAGCATTTTCATGCTGCTTTTGTTTCCTTTATATTAAAAGCTTTTAATTCTGATTCTTAGAGAAAATTTCTCACTTTTTTCTTTTCTAGTGACATTTGGGCTCTGGGGTGTGTCCTTTATGAGATGTGTACACTTAAACATGCAGTAAGTAGAAATTTCTGACATTTTAAAAATTATGTCAGAAAGTGACTATAGTATTTTTTTTAAGAAGTCATATGTCATCTTTCAGATGGCCCTATTGTACTAGAAATTCACTGCCATATAAGAAATGTTCTCATATTTTCTAAAGTATAAATTGAAATTGATTTTCCCTTAACAGATATTATATATTATATATGCATGTCATATATTTGTTATTATGCCATACTTTTCCCAGAAAATTATTTCTAGGTTAAACTCAAATTTGAATTTGGTATTTTAGCTTAGCAAATTTTTTTCCAAAAAGAAATCTTTAGATTTTTAAATTGCCTCTCCTGTTTTTTTTTTTTTTGTTTTTAACTTTAGTTAGAATATATTGTATTTAATCATAAAATACAGATTTCCATTATATGGCTTGTATTCCACCTTTGTAATATTTGCCATTTTGCTGATTCCATGGCTTTTTGAAAGCATCACATACTTAAAAATAATAACAATGAGCAGTGTTTAAAAGGAAAGTAATTAATACTTTTTAAAATTATGTTTTCCCAAATACTTTTAGTTCTATGGTAATATTTTGTTCTATTTACTTCAATAGGAAGATAGGTCTTAACTGATGACCACTAAATTTGTTTTACCATCTTGATTATTGTCGTTTTATAAAATCTTTGTTCTAAGACCTAAATTCATTCTTTTAATATTTTGAATAAGTAAAAAGTAATCTTATAGCAAGTCATAAAATTTTATGAGGACTCATACTCTCTTTTAAATGTTTGTTTATAACCTAATGAACCTTGCTCTAGAGTACATATGCTGATCAAAATATTTGAAGAGGATTGTATTTTTCTTTTGTATTGATAGGAAAAGAACTATTTCTCATTGTTATTCCCACTTTCAATTTGTATATTTCATAATGTTAATCTGTTTTCTGGGTTTTAGTTTGAAGCTGGCAATATGAAAAATCTGGTACTGAAGATAATATCTGGATCTTTTCCACCTGTATCTTTGCATTATTCTTCTGATCTCCGCAGTTTGCTCTCTCAGTTATTTAAAAGAAATCCTAGGGCTAGACCATCAGTCAACTCCATATTGCAGAAAGTTTTTATGGCCAAACGCATTGAGAAGTTTCTCTCACCTCAGGTATGTTTTTTCACTTTTGAAGTTAGGTTATTGTGCATTATGAGGACATAATCTCCTGTTTTGAGGAGAGCTTATCAGAACCTTGGGGGAATGAAGTGCCTTTTTCAGAATGCACTGGAGTCACCTTCACTTCCATTTTATATAATACTTCCCCTTCCTATTTGCTTTCCATTTGTGGCCTGTAGGGAGGGAAACATTGCTCCATGTGTCTCCTCTTAATACCTAATACTTCATTTTTGGCACTTTTGATTCCTAAATGTGTAATAATAGATCTCCCTCAACCCTCCATCAAGCAAATCTATAATACCACTCTTTACCTGGAGAAAGCATCAGATCCAGCAGGTTAAGGATGCTCTTTCACAAGGTTGTTCCCATTTCAGTTACCAGTCACAAGAGGAGGTTGTCATGTGTGTTTCTGATTCACCAACTATAAATGAGAGGTTCCTGTGACCTTTTCCTTTGGTTTGATTAATTGCTAGGGCAGCTTATGCAACCCAGAGAAATATTTCCTTATTATTTAATAGCTTATAATAAAGGATAGAGATATATGAAGAAACATACAGGGCAAGTTCTGAAAGGATCTCAAACACAGGAGCTTTTGTCCCACATGGAACTTGGGCTTGCCACTCTTTTTTTTTCCCAAACATTTTTTTTTTTTTAAAGATTATTTATTTATACAAGCACTGGGTACAGTCAGAAGCCTGGGAGGGTGAGAGAATTCACCAGAGCCAGAGCGGGGAACAGAACAGGCAGACTTGACGAAATATACTGCTGAGGGGAGCAGCGGACGTGGCAGGAGAGGTCTGTGGTGCCATGTGGGACACTCACCCGGCAGCCGGGGATCAAACCGGCGCTGCAGAGGCTGTGGGCAGCTTCGCAGCCCAGCACTCAACCTCTGTACCACCAGGGGAGGCCCGGGCTTGCCACTCTTCTGGCATATTTACCAACTAGAAGGTCACCAAACCCCATCCATTTTGCTTGTATATATGGGTTTCATTGGGTGATTGATTACATATTTAATTAAATCGTTGGCCTTTAGCTATTGATTCAACCTCCAACCCCTTCTCCTGGAGGGTAGGAGAGTGGGACAGGAAGTTCCAGTCCTCTGATCACATGTTTGTTTTCCCTGGCAAAACCAGCCTCCATCATTAAGGACTTCCCAAAAGTCATCTTGCTAGCATAAACTCAGGTGTGATTGCTAGGGACTCATTATGAATAAGAAAAGACACCTTTATGTTCTTACCATATAGAAAATTCTGAGGATTTTAGTTGCTATATGCCAGGAATGGGACAAAGATCAAGTATATATTTTTCTTACTGTAAATCACAACATCATAACATCATAGAAACATTCCTTATTCTCTTGGGCTTCTGTTGTTTTCCAGTTTTTCTTTATTGTGGTAAAATATGCATAACTTAAAATTTATCACCTTAACTGTTTTTATACAGTTCAGTGGTATTGAATATTTTCATAATGTTGCGCAGCCATCTCCGTCATCTACCTCTGTAACTCATTTCATCTTGTAAAACAAACTTTATACCCATTAACCAATAACTCTTCCTCTCCCCTGCTCCCTTGGTAACCAGCCACCTTTCAACTTTGTCTTCCTGGGTTTCTAACTGTAAAACTATCAAATTATTCTGTGCCTCGCTTTCCTTACCTCTGAACAATGAGATTATAAATATATGTACATCATGAGGTTATTAGGTTGTTTAAACATGATAATGCATGTAAAGCACTTAATGTCTCGCATACCATAAGTGCTCAGTATATTTAAAATATTCAGTATTGTATCGCTTTATTATACTAATACACATTGTTGTCATTATAATTCAAGTGATTTGATAGAAAATGATTGGAAACTATTACTCTATGAACATTTTATATGTATGTATAATAAATTGTTGACTCATGGTTTTTCTTCTGGTCCTTGACTATCAGTACAAAACAAATATTTGTTGAATGAATTAAAATTTAATTTACAGGACTTTAAAAAATCAGTATCAAATCAGTTAGCTTAAGTTATTGATATAAATATTATCACCTGAAACTGAAATTATTTTATGTTTTGTTACCCTTTGTTTATTTAAATGATCACTATTTAATTCTATAAATTAGCTACAATCACACTTTATTTTATTTATGTAAAAATCATACGTTTATTATTTATGTACACTTGAGAGGAGATAGACATGTCTTATCCTCTAACTTTACAGAGCATTCATGTGAACAAGTAATCTTCAGAGAACAGATAATGAATTAAACTGTTACCACTAGGAGTACACATTAGTAATCCTGTAAGCCAATTAAAAATCGTAGGTTAAAGTTACTTGTGTAAGACATAGCTACAGTCTCTTAAATGTGGGTGTCTTACAAGACTCCTTTGTTATAGCGTATTCCAGGACATTTTTATGATGCTATGTACTGTTGTTATTTTGGCAACTACTGAAGAAGAATGAATGAGTTCATTTAGTCTTGCTGAGGTTTCATTCCCCCATACCAGCAGTTAGGACATATAGTCTCAAGACTAAAGCTCTGGAATTCAGCTAGCCAGCAAAAAAAGAAAATATTCAAGCATGATTTATTTATTTATTTATTTTTTTTTTAGAGGCATGTTTTATTTATTTATTATTTTGTTTGTTTGTTTGTTTTGTTTATACATGCACTGGGTACAGTCAGAAGCGCGGGAGGGTGAGAGAATTCACCAGAGCCAGAGCGGGGAGCAGAGCAGGCAGAAGGACCGAAGTGCACTGCTGAGGGGAGCAGTGGGCGGCAGGAGAGGTCTGCGCGCCATGTGGGACCCTCCTCTGGTGGCCGGGGAGCAGCCGGGGATCGAACCGGCGCCGCAGAGGCCGCGGGCAGCTTCGCAACCCAGCGCTCAACCGCTGTGCCACCGGGGAGGCCCCAAGCATGATTTAAATAAAAGTTAATGGAAAATGAGAAGGGCAGAAATTTATTAACAAATGGAATATTTGACATTGCATGTTTAGTATATACATGACCCTTGTTGCTACTTAAGTACCACTTAGATTTCATTCTTTTAAAAAACCTTTATCTGTTGTTCTTGAGATTTATTTTCTGCTTATACCACTTGTTCAGTATTCTAATTAAAAAGTCTTTAATACATTTTTTAAGATTTTAACTTTGAAACAATTTATGAACTTTACTACAATGTATGAGCTATTATTCCTACTATCACTATAATATACTATACAGTTTCTTTTTAGTCCCTAAATTCTCTTTGTCCCAGCCAAAGTAAATAGATCTCGTTCTCAGTATTGCACACTCTGGACCTGTCTTCTTGGATCGAATATTAAAGGTTCCTCCAGATAGGAGGTAGTTTTGTTAAATAGCTAAGATACAGAACAAGGAGACTGTGCATGAGGCCTTGTGTGATGTAATATGTTAATTTGAGAAGTAAATTTATCTAGAAAAGTAATAGAAATAATTGGTAAGGTGGTGGATGGAGTTAGCATCAGAGGGATTCAGTGAATGGATTACTGGGATTTCATTAGTACAGTTAATTTGGCAGTATAGTTGAGACTGAAAAGGGAAAAGAATGTTTTATAATTAATGGTAGAATTTTGGAAATTTAACATCTTTTCTAACATTTTTTTCTTTCATTCTAAGCTTATCGCAGAAGAATTTTGTCAAAAAACATTTTCCAAGTTTGGAGCACAGCCAGGTAAATGAAATTTAATATGAGACCTTTCATGTATTTGAAATAATCAATATGCCAATTATACTATTGATATATGTAAATGTAATAAGGTGAGATAGTAGTAGAGTAAGTTTAATCCAGGGGAAATGCATTTTAGATTTTTTAATGATATATGACAATATACAAGATGATAATTAATAACAAAATTTCCATTTCTTGCCTGCCTTAAATGAAATCTGTCTTGAAATCTATTTTTATCAAATGCTTAGATGATATTCTGAGAAAATTGTAATAGGATGTTACATGCTCTAATTAAGTATAGATCTGTGTTTTTTTTTTTTTTAAGATTTATTTATTTACATAAGCACTGGGTACAGTCAGAAGTGCGGGAGGGTGAGAGAATTCACCAGAGCCAGAGGGGAGAGCAGAGCAGGCAGACGAAGTACACTGCTGAGGGGAGCAGCGGGCAGCAGGAGAGGTCTGCGCGCCATGTGGAACCCTCACCCTGCAGCCTAGGGATCGAACCGGCACTGCAGAGGCTGCGGGCAGCTTCGCAACCCAGCACTCAACCACTGCGCCACCGGGGAGGCCCTTAAGTGTAGATCTTTATGTAAAATATTCTTCTTTGAGAAATACTTTATAGCTTTAAATTTTTTTTTAAGATTTATTTATTTATTTATACAAGCACTGTGTACAGTCAGAAGCACGGGAGGGTAAGAGAATCCACCAGACCCAGAGCAGGGAGCAGAACAGCCAGACTGATGAAATACACTGCAGAGGGAAGCAGCGGGTGGCAGGAGAGGTCTTCGCGCCATATGGGATCCTCGCCGGCTGGGGATCGAAACGGCGCTGCAGAGGCTGCTGGCAGCTTTGCAGCCCAGTGCTCAACCGCTGTGCCACCAGGGGAGGCCCCATAGCTTTAAATTTTTTTAAAGTAAATTAATGTAAAGTCAGGTACTTTACCAGGGAAGATTTTCTTTTAAATTTACTCCACAACTGTCAGATTTCTGTAGGATTGTTTTTGGCGTTAGGTATGATATATATGTATATACCTATCAATATATCTGTGTGAGTATAGGACATTATATATTTTCTGCATAAATGACTTCAAAATGAATTTATAAAATCAGTGGAAGTTATTGAAGGTTCAAGAGTATATTATTTTTCAAACAATGCTTTGCATATTCTATCCCATTTTGAGTTTGACTATTAATAAAATAAATATAAAGACTTTTAAACTCATCCTCTCAGTGTGTAGAGACTGTCTAGGAAATCAGCTCACTCTAAACAAAATTCACAAGAGACAGACTGTGATGGATTCAGCATATCTCTCCTGGCATGAGAAGTCAAATCTTAATCAAAAGCCTCACTGTCTGAAAGTTTCCTGTGTCAGCACATTCTGCCACATGGATAAGCCTACAGAGGAATTAGAAAGTTATTTTGTTCAAACAGGCAATGCATGAAGGAAATGTATAACAGCACAAGGCTGGAGTAGGGTAGTATTGCTGAAGGGCCTACACATACTTCCCATTTAAGCTTTGCCCTACCTGTCACTGAGCCTGAGAAATGCTTTAAAAGTCAGATAAGCCATTCTTCCTCCTCTCTGGAAAGTATGTGGGAACTTTTTGTATTTGTCTCTTGGTCCTCTTCATTTTTATGCTTTTGTGCCTCCTGCCCCTTTTCTGACATATACAGTATTTCTTTAGTTCTGTTAACACATTTAGTGAGATTACAATATGATCTTACACCTGAATTCTTAAAGGGAAATTTTTTTTCTCACATTTCCTGGTTCCTGTCAGGATACTGTTGGAACATGTATTTGGAACACCTTACTCTGTCATACTGTATTTCTTATCTTCAACACAAATTACTTATGATTTGCTAAACTGGCAATCAAATTTTAAGAACTGACCTTAATATCTTATGGTGAACGATCAGTGGAATATTTTTTCTCCTTTCACCTCATAAAAAGGAAGAATACTTAATGGAGGAAATTGATTTAAATTAATATATAGCACATGATAAAAAAAAAACTAAACTGGACTTTTTCTCTTTGAAACCTCAAAGAGAAAGAATGCAAGCTACTACTCAGGCAGTGTGCTCTTCCCTTTCCTGTTTTGATCCTGCTTCCCTTTCCCCTGCTGCAGAATGTCTCTGGTTTATAGTTGCCTACTGGTTTTGATAATTATTATAATTACTTTTTTTTCCCCTGATCCTTTTTTGGGATCCTCTACATTCCTCCTATAAGTGAAACCATCCGGTGTTTTTCTTTTTCTTTCTGGCTTATGTCACTGAGCATGATCCCTTCCAGCTCCATCCATGTTGCTGCGAATGGCATGAGTTATCTTTTTTGACTGCTGAGTAATGTTCTAGTGTTATATTGAGACACAGGGCAAGCTAGGATTATTAGGTAGTTTTAGGGACAGTGCAGGAGGGGACCTCTGAAGAATTAAGGGAGGCTTCAGAGATAAGGACAACCAAGGGAGTGTAACCAATTCCACTGGGAAAAACAAACATCCCAGGACCATTGTTCACAAAATGGGAAAAACAAACACTCCAGGACCACGGACAATATCCAGGATGGTCCTAGTTTTCTTTAGGTGATAAAGATAAAGTGTGGAGATGCTCTCCCGGAAGACTAGACCATAAAAATAAAGATGTAACAAATGGGGAAAGACAGACCTGTTAGATAAGGAATGTGAAGATCCCCCACTCAGTAGCAAATTAAGTGAAACAGCCGAAAACTGACCAATCACAAAGAGACTGGTGGAGCTTTAGAATAATCAGGGAAAGAAAGTATATATTCCCTGAGACACGACTCCACTTTGGCTTCCTTGCCCCTCCCAGGCCTGGTTCCCTGGCCTGGGAGTCCCACTTTATTTCTGTTCTTTTTCTCCTCAGTAAACTTTTTCTTTCTCTAAACGAACCTGCCTCTTCTCGCTTGCTTGCCTGAGCGTCTGCGAAGTTCCTGTTGCGGCTTCGTGAGACACCAACCCATGGGGGTCTAGTGGCTGGGGCTCAGCGCTGCCCCTGCAGCCTGGGATCCGTTCCTGGCTGGGAGACTAGGCCTGACAATTCCGGTATCAATATGTACCACATGTTCTTAATCCAGTCCTCTGTTTTTGGGCATTTGGGTTGTGTCCAGTAGCTTATCTATTCTAAATGGTGCTGCAATAAACATAGGGGTGCAGGTGTTCTTTTGAATTAATGTTTTTGTGTCCTTTGGGTAGATACCTAAGAGTGGAATTGCTGGATCATATGGAAGCTCCATTTTTAGCATTTTGAGGAACCTCCAAATAGCTTTCCATAGTGGTTGGACTAGTTTGCATTCCTGCCAGCAGTGTAGGAAAGTTCCTTTTCTCCACATCATTGCCAACAATTGTTGCTAGTTTTTTTTAATATGTGCCATTCTCACTGGTATGAGATGGTATCTCATTGTCATTTTAATTTGCATTCCCTGATAACCAGTGATGTTGAACTTTTTTTCATATGCCTGTTGGCCAATTGCATATCCTCTTTGGAGAAGTGTCTTTTTAGCTCCTCTGTCCATTTTTTGACTGGGTTTTTTACTTTGTTTTTTGCTGAGTTTAGTCAGCTCTTAGTAGATCTTTGTGATCAGTCCCTTATCATTACTATTGTGTGCAAAATTTTCTCCCAATCAGTTGGGTGTCTCTTTGTTTTGGTTAATGTCTCTTTTGATGTAGTCCCATCTGTTTATCCCTTTCTTCTCTATCTTTGCTTTGGGTGATATGTCTTTAAAGATGTTACTGAGGTGTATGTCATGTAGTGTTTCATCTGTATTTTCTCCGTGAAATATTCTTTTAAAAATTTATTTTTTAACGGTGGAGAACTATGGTATAAAGAACTATTGGTTGTGGGAGGGGTGAGGAGAGGAAGGACTAGAGTCAAAATAAGGGGGGGGTGCAATTGTATGGGGAATATAACCATAATGAAAATACATACATTGTGTAAAGATGAAAAATGATATAAGAATTATATAAAATAAAATATTTAAAAAAAAACAAAATTCTGACAGATTGTGAAATAAAATGACCTCACCAAAAAATAAATAAATAAATAAATAAAAATTTATTTTTAAAAACTATTTTGAGATATAATTTATATACCATTCAGTTTACCTGCTTAAAGTCTACAATTCAGTGTTCTTTATTATATTTCCATATATGTGCATTTACCCACATTCAATTTAAGGGGTGTCCTTTTTTTAGTATGAGAAATTTCAGAATTTTAGAGCAGCATGATTTCTTTCAAAAAGTGGTATAAGTGTAAAATAGTTATGAAAGCCTGTGTTCTGGAGTGAATGTTTAATGAAAAGTTTCACGTTAAATGCTGTCGGTGATTGTGAAATTGAAAAAACTGCTATCTTGGAGAGTTTTGAAAGTTTTATTATAAAGAATTCTGGAAAAAATTCTTTGTCTCTTTTCATGTAGCTAAAAGACCAGCTTCAGGACTAAGTGTGGCTTCTGTTGGATCTGCTCAGAAAATTACAAAGCCTGCTGCTAAGTATGGAGTATCTTTAATAAATAAGAAACATGGAGATAAAAAGTTACATGAAAAGAAACCACTCCAAAAACATAAACAGGTATGATGACCATATACAAACTGTGTTTTAGTAATGTTATAGGGCAGCCCCGATATTGAACGGGTTCCTGGCTGTGGGTCCTCACCTGCGCACTTACAAGGGACTTATTAATACTCCACTACAGGCACACACAAAAGGTTAATAAAAGGTTTATTTACAAGGGAAAAGGAAAATGTACAACTTAGGGAGAAAATAGGGAAATAAAGTCTTTAATGCGTCCTACCCAATCCGACGACCTGGAAACCCAAAGTCACTCTCACAGCTGGCCAGACTCTGCGAGCTGGTGGAGAGCCAAAATGGGGGGTCCCTCAAAGCCCACGTGTCTGCCTTTTGTATCAACCTGGCTGCTTAACCCCACCCTCAGGTCCCAGCTACCTTCCCTTTGGTGGTGATGGGATTTGGAGATGGTCTTTGGCTTTGGCCTGGGGTGGGGGTGGAGTCCACAAAGCCTGTATGAAATTAGCTTTAGGATATCCTTTTCCCCCTAACAGTAACAAATTCAATTCAGTCACCCTGACAGTCCTAGGATGGTTTTTATTAAGTTACTAAGAACATTGCTGTTCTCGCCACACCATATTCTAAAACTAAGAAGTCTTATAGAAGTCATAGAGAAACATCTAGTAGATATATTACATAAGGTAATTGGGGCACAAAGAAAGTAATGTTGTAAATAAAATCACTTTTGAACAATCTGGGTAGAGCCATTTCATTGTATGCAAAAAAAAGTTAATATCTATGATATAATTGATAAAAATATGAGAAATTTTTGTATTTGAGAATCCACAGTCAGATATATCAATACCATGATACTGGAAGGAATGTTATCATGTGGTGTAATCTATCATATTTCAGATGAAAAAAATTAAGGCCTGTGGCATTTACATGTCATGTTCAAGAATACAGTGTTCATTATAGGAATTTGACTTTTTCCTTAATGTCAGTGGTAATGGCTGCATGCCTAGGTATATGCATACACATATACATACATGCCTGCTTCGGCTTATGTTTGTGCATACACTGCTGAAAGATAAACTTCACAGTAGGAATTATAGTCAGTTTGGTTAAAATCTGTTACTTGATTACTCCTCCTTCATAAAACGTATTTTTTACTTGAGGTCAGAGTGTTACATTCTTCAGATTTTCTTCCTACTTGAGTAATAGTTTTTCTCAGTCTTCTTTGCAAGCTCCTCTTAATGTCCCTGACCTCCAAATGCTGAAACACTCAAGAATTTGGTCCTTTGATTTCTCTCTTCATGTATCGTACTCTACAATAGCATTTGTAAACGGCAACAAATTTATATCTCCAGCCTGGACTCCTTTTCTAAAGTACAGACGCATATCTGTCAACATCTGTAACTGAACTTCTAATAGGCATCTCAAAACTCAACTCCTGATTCTACCTTTTTCTCAAATTGATCTTCTTTATTTCAGTAAATGAAAACTTCACCCTTCCATTTGTTCTTAAAAACTTTTGGAGTCATAATTGACTATTTATTGTTTCTATCACCACTTTAGTCCTGACCACCCTTATTTTTTAAAAATTTTTTTTAAAGATTTATTTATTTTTTATATAAGAACCAAGGTACAGACCAGATGCGTGGGAGGGTGAGAGGATTCACCAGAGACAGAGCGGGGAACAGAACAGGCAGACTGACTGAAAGACAATGCTGAGGGGAGCAGCGGGAGAGACAGGAGAGGTCTGCCTCGCCATGTGGGTTTCTCCCTGGCCGGCTGGGAATAGAACTCGTGCTACAGAGGCTGCAGATTGCTTCAAGTGCAGTGCTTAAACCCCTTGCACCACTAGGGAGGCCCTTTTTTTTTTTTTTCCCAGAAAATCATCTTTTATATTCAAATTCATGACGACTTTGGAAATTTTCAGTTTTCAATCTTGAAAGCATTATGCTAAGTTAAAGAAGTCAATCATAAGAAATTTATAAGGAAATCTATAACTATTTGTCATTTTCAGCTGCAAAAATACAATATAATATGTATTATTATCAAAATGTTTTTATATGTCAAGCATACATTAAAATATTTATATTTCTTAAAAGGTTGGTTTGCTCCAGTTCTGTAATTTTTTTTTAAAGGACTCTACTTAAACAAAGGAGTGGTTGATAATTAAGCCACCAGAGGGAGCTCCATGAATATGTTTCAGTACTTGGCATACCACCCCCTGAAATTTTGAAAAAGAAATAGAAAACAGAACATTTTTCTTAGTATTGATATTTTCTCTTTTTCTCTAATGTGTAGAAATAGTGTTCTAAAAATAACCTGTGTTATCCCACAGGTGCAGCTTGGTATTTTTTATTTCACAAATACCTTGAGAATCTTATATGTAAAGCAATATGGAACATAGAAAGATAAGTGTAAATTTTACTTCATTTAACTTACCTGAGAGGTATCTTAGTTAAACATTCTTGTCTTGTTTCACATTATTTTGTAATCTATTTAGCAGCTGTTTAAAGCTGGTCCATATAACCTGTGGAAGTTGTCAAAATATATAATGCAGGGCTTTATGTCCAGAAATTATTATTCAATAACTCTAACATTTTTTGGAAAAAACAGCTTTTTGAGATAGTCACATACTATAAAATTCACCCATTTAAAGTTTGGAATTAAATAGTATTTAATGTATTCACAAAGTTGTACAGTCATCACCACAGTCAACTTTAGAACATTTTCATCACCCCCAAAAGAAGTCCTTTTCCTGTTAGTAGTCTCCATTCTTCCCCCACCCCTATAGTCTTGAAGTTCAGTAATCTACTTGTGTCCATATAGAGATTTACTTGTTTGGTCCATTTCATATAAATGGAATCATACAATATGTGGTCTTTTGTGACTGCTTTACTTAGCATAATGCTTTCAACCTTGTATTTTGTATCCAAGTTGTACATGTACCCAGACTTCATTCCTTTTCATTGCCAAATACTCCTTTGTATGAAGGGACTATATATATATATTTTTTTAAAGATTTATTTATTTATTTATACAAGCACTGGGTACAGTCAGAAGCGCGGGAGGGTGAGAGAATTCACCAGAGCCAGAGCGGGGAGCAGAGCAGGCAGAAGGACCGAAGTACACTGCTGAGGGGAGCAGCAGGCACCAGGAGAGGTCTGCGCTCCATGTGGGGCCCTCCTCCCGTGGCCGGGGAGCAGCCGGGAATCGAACCAGCACTGCAGAGGCTGCGGGCAGCTTCGCAACCCAGCGTTCAACCGCTGTGCCACCAGGGAGGCCCAAGGGACTATATATTTTTTACAAAGCTCCTGGGTAACATTCTTTACTAGTTTCTATTTTGTATACATAGAACATATTTTGAAATGTTAAGTGTGTTTGTAATACTATGAAGAGCATTATCTACAATTGTATATTTTTCCTCCTTGTGTTTCTGTAATAGTGTCCCCAGAGCTCTCTTACCTGTTTTGAAGTTGCAAATGGCACTATAACTTTGGTGTTATGTGTAGTAAGATGTGTATTTATGTTGAATTGTGAAACTACTCCCAAAACTTATGTGGTATTGTGAATCAGTAGTAAATCAACAAAATTTTAATATATATATGTGTGTGTATATATCTTACTTTTTTTAAATACAGATCTTACTAATCAACAAAATTTAATTAAAAAAATCTGTCAGGCAATGGAAGGCTTCCAAGTGTTGCAATATTCTATTTCTATATCTTTCTGCTAATTTACTTTGTATCACTGTAAAAAAAAAAAAAAAGGAAAAAGGAAAAATGAAGATGGAGAAGTGTAGTAGACAGAGAATTCCAGAAACTGACCAATACGTGTATGTGAATTTACTACATGAATAATAGAGGCATTTCAAGCCAATGAGGGGAAAGATAAACCAGCCAGTAAATGGTTACAAAATAATTGGATTTTCTAGAGGAAGAAAAATTAGGTTCTTCTTCTTCCATGAACAAAAACTTATTCCAGATCTAAAAATAAAAATCCTAACTATAAATATTCAAAAATCTCATTGTAAACTTGTTCTTTTATAAAGATCTAAATATAAAAATTAAACTAAGTGGCAGAGTAAATATAATAATGAGGTCAGTTGCCTTCCTTAATAAAACAATATATATCATAAAGGAATAGACTGGCAGATTTAACTATATATAAGTTACGAATTTCTGTACAGTGAAATATATAGTAAGCAATTTAAAGACAGAATGGGAAAAATATTTGCAATATCTATAATAGATGTGGTCTTATTTTCCATAATTTACAAAAAGCTACTAAAATTGAAATACCCCCCAAATTAGATAATTAGTATATAAAAGAGAAAATATACATGTCTAATGTACTGGAACATATTCTTAGCCTTTCCAAGAAGCAGAAATTCAAGATATTATTAGTATCTTGAAATGATAATACCCAATATTTGTGAGATTTGGGAAAATGAGTACTTTGATGAGACCATAATTTGATGCAGCCTCTTGGAAGGATAGTTTTTCTCAGCGTTAGAATTTTTTTATTTTTACTCTAATTCTCTGTCTAAAAGTATTGCCCTTCTGAAAGACTTGCATACGGTACAAAGATGTCTGTACATGGAAGTTATTTACAGTATATAGAGAAAGAAAAATTTGCAACTGTTCCAGAGGAACGATTAAATAAATTAATTAAATTCTTGGTATGGAATATTGTTACTTGCTTATTACCACATTGTGGAAATGTCAGGGCACATTGTGAACATAAAAATCATTTCTGAATATAATAAAACATTATTACATTTATGTAAGAAACATGAAAAGCTTATATTCTATGTATATATAGTTATGTGTGTATTTAAGTTCATAGAACTATGTCTTTAATGATACTCAAGAAGATATTTCTGTGCTTACGTGTGCAGGTGGGAAGTGAAGTAGACTAACTTTTTACAATTGTTCAAATTTGATTTAGTGAGTATATATTGTGTAGTTAACTATTTTTTAGAAAAATTTATCTCTTCAATGTTTGATTTTCTAAATAACATTTATTTTCATAATATTAGAAAACTTAAAATTAACATCTATACTTGAGAACACAAATTTTTAGTTGATGACTGGAGAAGAATCCTTTTCTATAATTTCATTGAATTGAATGTTTCTCTTTGATTAACAAATAGCATTTCAAGCATTATACTGGGTCTTTCATTTTAGAGGTAATCTATTTTGTTTTTTTGGAGTTTTTTTACATCATTTTTCATTTTTGCACAACGTATGCATTTTCATCTTGGTTATAGTCCCCATACAATTCCCACGCCCCTTGTTTTGATCCTATTCCCTTCTTCTTCTACCCCCCTGTAGTGTGTCTCTGGTATACAGTTGCTTGTTGATTTTGATTTTTACTTTATTATAATTAGTCTTTTTCCTGGTCCCTTATGTAGGTTTTCTAAATTCCTGTTTAGTCCGTTTACATTTACAGTTAATGTTGATTGTTAGCGTCTGTATTTGCCTTTTTGTCTTTTCTGTGGTTTTACTTTTTGTCTGTTTTGTTCTTATTCATCCCTCTGTTGGATCCAGTTTTAGGACTTCTTATAGTATTTTTTGGAGTGGGGGTTTAGTCATGATGAAATTCAGGAGTTTCTGTTTGTCTGGGAAGATCCTTATTCTTTCTTCATAGAGGAAGGAAAGCTTTGCAGGATAAAGTATTCTCTTTTTTTTTTTTTTTTTTTGTGGGACCCTGCAGGTGGCCGGGGAACGAACCAGCGCTGCAGAGGCTGTGGGCAGCCTCATAGCCCAGCGCTCAACTGCTGCGCCACCAGGGGAGGCCCAGGATAAAGTATTCTTGATTGGCATTTGTTGGCTTGGAGTTTGTTGACTATGTCCATCCACTCTCTCCTTGCCAGTGGTGGTTCTTTGAAGGAGTCTGATGTCAGCCTGATTGGTTTCCTTTGTATGTTATCTCTTTCTTCCCCCTTGTCAGCTTCGTTATTTTTCCTTGTCTTGGATTCTTGGGAGATTTACTGTTATGTGTCTTGCTGTATTTTTCCTTTCATCATGGAAGTTCTTGTATGTCTATTTTCAGCTCCTCCTTCATGTTTGGGAAGTTCTCTTCAGTTATTTCCTTGAGTATTTTCTCTGTTCCTGTGTCTCTCTCCTCTCCTTCTGGGATCCCTATAACTTATATTTCCTTTCCTCATGGAGTCAGATAGTTCCCAAAGTCTTTCTTCATTTTCTGTCATACTTCTCTTACCTTTTCTGTGTTTTGGTTCTTTTTATTTCCATGTCTGTGAGAGTGCTTATTCGTTCTTCCATTTCATCTATTCTGCTTTCACTGCTTTTCCCAGAGTTTTTAGCTCCTCCATTAATCCTTTGATCTGCATTTCTTTCACTTCCCTCATTAAGGCCTCAATTTCATTCTTATGATTGTTGATTATTTTTCCCATATCATTTTCTACTTCTTTCAGTTTTTTAATCATGGCGACTTTAAATTCTCTATCGGGAAGGCTCAGAAGTTTTTCCAAGTCACTGCTGTTTCAGTCTTGTGGTTGATTTTCTGCTTTGCTTGGTTGCTTGTAGTTTTTCTTCTCTCTGTTGCTTGTTTTCTGATTTGTCCTATGCGTTGGGACAGTGTCACTGGTATTGGCTGGCATCTCTTTGGCTCCTTCTGGGATGTCAGAGGCTCTGATACTTTTGGTGAGGTCCCGACTTGGCCCTCCCTGTCGTAAAGATGGCACGGCTGGGGGGCAGTCAGCCCTGGCAGTGGCTGGATTCCCCTCTGGGCTCCATCTCACTGCAGACACGGGGGCTCGGCTCCTACAGGCTTTCAGCTCACCTCTGACTGCGGAGACAGACCTTTTTCAGTTCCACACAGTTTCGGTGAGGTCCGGGTAGGACCCTCCCTGTCTCAAGAGGCATCAGTGGGGGTCACTCCCCACCACGGTCTGCCTGGGCGGTGGCTGGATCCCCTCTGGGCTCCGTCTTGTGGTGGCCGCGGGGCCGGCTTAGAGGTAATCTATTTTGAAAGAAATTATGGCAATATTGAATTTACTTTTTTTATTTTAAATTTCAATGAATTTGAAATTTTCACATGGGTACCCTAAAATCCTTATCTAATTTATAGTTTTACTTTTTGTCCAGGCCCATCAAATTCCAGTGAAGAAAGTGAATCCTGGAGAAGAAAGGAGGAAAATGTTTGAGGTATAAAGACATCTGTCTGCTTATTTTAAAGCTTTGCAAAAATAATCACAGAAAAAGAAACAAAACTTCTAATATAAAACCTCCAAACAATTCCTCCTTATTTCTTTCAATTACATCTAACCTAGTATTTTTTTTTTCCTTCCTAAACTTCCCTGGGCATATGCCTACCGTTGGTGTACTAACTTTCCTGTTGAAATTAGAAAGTAGCAGGTATTTATTTATAAAAATATTCTTTAATTTAAGGAAGCAGCACCAAAGAGACGGTTGGAAATTTTTGAAAAAGAAAAGAAGCAAAAGGATCAGGTAATGTTTTGCTTTTATTTCCCTTGCTGAATTATAGGTAAATTTCAAGAATGCTAAGAAGTTTGTGTTTAAAATTGTTACAGATGAGTTTAATGAAGCCTGAACAGATGAAAAGATACGAAAAGGAAAGAGTAAGAAAATGCCTTTTCCATATACTTTTTTAAGGAATATGCTGATTTCCATTTTATTATAATTGTACTTCCTGTGTTCTATATGAAATACTTGAAATGGTGTTTTGTTGTTTCTTTTCCCCACAAGCTGGAGAAAATTAATAGGGCCAGAGAACAAGGATGGAGAAATGTGCTAAGTGCAGGTGGAAGTGGTGAAGTAAAGGTAGGCATTTAACACAAACATATTGTTAGACTAGTGGTGTTTTTCCCTCCAATTTCACCTGGCTTTTTAAAATGTATGTAATTGCTTTCTTCTTTGTTTGCTTGCATTTAATTTTTACTTAGAATTTTTCAACATCTTTTATGAAATCTTTGTTTTCTTGCATGTATTATACATAACCTGTATTAATAGTTAATATGTGACCTTTTTTTTTGAAGATTTATTTATTTATGCATACAAGAGTGTGTTCAGGCCAGAGATGCAGGGGGTGAGAAGATTCACCAGAGATAGAGTGGGGAGCAGAACAGGCAGACTGACTGAAATATACTGCTGAGGGGAGCAGCAGGTGCCTCGCCATGTGGGTTGCTCCCTGGCCAGCCGGGGGATCGAAGTCATGCTGCAGAGGCTGCAGACAGATTCATAGGTTGCGTCTTAACCCCTTGCACCACCAGGGAGGCCCTTAAGCTGGGGGATTTTACTTAGCTTTTCTGAGCTTCTATTTTTGTCATTAAAAAAAAAAAAAGAAAATTTCCATGAATAGTGCTTGGAGCTTTGCTGTCAAGGGCTCATTTGTTGACTTCCTTTTCTTTCTTCAATCTATTTGAATCTTGCATTTCTTCTTTGTTCTTGTAGCATCCTTTATGTATCTATTTTAGGCTGAATTCTAAAATGGTTCCTAAAATTTTGGACACCTGCTGTATATATCTTGTATTATTATTCCTTCCCCTTGAGTATGGGTGGAACCTTTAGTAGGGTGTCACAGCAGCAGCTCCCTTGATTAGATTTGATGACTGACTGACTAAGTTAACATTTTATAAGACTCCTTCATAGGAACTTGGAAGGTGAGAAGAAAATCAGACATGCTTCTGCTGACCTGGAAAAAAGCACATATTCAGGTGGGAAGGAAGTATATATATATAGGTGGCTTCTAGGAGTTAATAGTGGTGTTTGATTAACAACTAGCAAAAAAGTGGTGATTTAGGGAAACAACCACAGGAAACAAATTCTGTCAAGAGGATCCTGAGCTTCAGATGAGAATTGCAGCCATGGCTGACACTTTGATTTCTACCTGGTAAGATCTTAAGCAAGGGACCCAGCTAACCATGCCCAGACTCTTGGGCCAGGGAAACTCCAAATAATAAATGGATAGTGTTTTAAGCTGCTATGTTTGTGGTAATTTGTTACACACAACAGATTGAATACACTATTATTCTGCTGTATTATAATTTTAATTTGTATCATCCAAGCAAATATTAATCATCTTGTCTTTAAACTGACTTCCCCTGACCCTTTAGGTGTCTGATAGATATTTGTCAAGTTGATTACCATTCTTTTTTATTTACCCAAAAAATTATTATTTGAATAGATGTTTACTTTGTTTAATGTAGATGTTTTATTCTGTCCTGACTTTCTTAGTATTTGAGTCTCTTCAGATGCATAAATTTTTCATGTTCTCACCTATCAGTAATTTATCAAGTCTCTTTTTTCAATTCTTAATTAATATAGGTGTATATAGTTTCGAGTACTACAATTCTTTTTTAAAATTTGAAGGAATATGAACCTATACCTAATCATATATACTGTTGTATACCAGTATTACCTCAATAAAAAAATAATATTTGCAGAATAAAATTATATTTTACTGTTTCTATATTGTACTTCACTATTAGTAAACTTACTACTTCATAAGGAATGACTCAAATAGAATTTGGCCTATTCTAAAGTAACTGATCCCTAATCTTATCTGATTGGAAAATAAATACTTACCAATTAAAGTGTAGACCCCTAGATCTTGTCAAGCATTTTATATTAAGTCCAGAATTAGCATTGAGAATTTGATTATTTTCTTCTCTTTTTGCATATATCTCCTATGTTATAAAATATCTCTTTTTCTGTGATGTCTTAAGTTGTATTTAATCCTAAAGTCCATTTTAATGAATGTTTGATAACAAATTGAGACAGTTTTCTAACAGTGTTAAGAACATATGCTTAATAAATCCCTACATCATTTAGTAAACTTCTACAATGATTTCTTTGAGGATTAATAAAATATAATAATTTATTTTTCATCACTTAAAGCAAATTCTTTATTAGTTATACTTATTCCCATGGAATTGAAATATTTAATTTCTTCGGCTGTTTGATATCTGTATAGTTGATAAGGGCCTGAAGATTCAGTGAAATGTGAATCAAATCAAGGAGCTCCCCAAAATAAAGATAAAACAAAAACTAAACACTAAGGGAAGTATTTTTAAATTAATGCTATTATTAAATCTCTCAATAATAAGACATTAAATCACAGTATAAATAACCAACTACCTTTGATTATTTAGCATCTATAAAATCTGGGACTTTTTTTTTTTTTTTTTTTAAAGATTTATTTATTTATTTATAGAAGCACTGGGTATAGTCAGAAGTGCGGGAGGGTGAGAGAATTCACCAGAGCCAGAGTGGGGAGCAGAGCAGGCAGAAGGACCGGAGTACACTGCTGAGGGGAGCAGCGGGAGGCAGGAGAGGTCTGCACGCCATGTGGGACCCTCGCCCGGCGGCCGGGGATCGAACCGGCGTTGCAGAGGCTGCAGACCCAGCGCTCAACCGCTGCACCACCGGGGAGGCCCTGGGACTTTTTTTTTTTGCCTTCCTTTTTGATGTATCTCTTATGAGTGTTTGTTTTTAGAAAAATTATCAAATATTCCACATATATATTTTGATCTTATGGTGATCATAATATGCAGGAGGCACACCTGTTGTTTGAGAATATATTGGGATATTATTTAACAGTAAAAAGGACTAGTCTGTTTACACATGCAACAACATGAATGTAAATAACATAGTGAGTGAAAGAAGCCAGACATGGCATAAATATTGTGTGATTCCATTAATATGAAATGAGGGAAAAGGCAAATACAGCCTATATGGCAACATTTCAGGAGTTGCTGGAGTGAAAGAGCACTAACTGCGAAGAACACGAGGGAACTTTAGGGGAAAGGATATGCTTTTGGTTGTGGCGATTATACTATTGTGTATATTTGTCAGAACTCATTAGCCTCTTCTCAAAATTTTAAATAAAGTCATTTTTTACAAATTTATATTGCTTCAATATTGTATAATTTTTCTTGGGGCATTATTTTGAGTATAGGAATCTTCAGGGATTCTGTTTTTGCTAAAGAGAAACATTAGAGTACTGGAATGCAGTTAAGATGATACTGTAGCTATGGACTAAGTTAAAAGAGTAACCAGCCGCAGAGGAGATGTCACCACTTCTACCAGAATTCTGGTTCTGATTCTTGTTGAGATGCACATTTTGAAGATATGTGTGAGAACTGTAATGGAGGCGCCTAAATGGAAGGTAGTTATTGTCTCTTTTTCTAGCAACTTTGTTCTCTTGCTATTTAAACATATTTATCTGTATCATTGTGAACTGAGTTAAAAAGATAATAGACTGTCTTCTATTCCTGTACAACTTACTGTATCAAGAGTGTAACACGTTCTTTCTCACTGGGTCCACTGAAGTTTCTTCTATTTGATTCTAATATTTTTCTTTGTATCTTTACTTGTAGCCAGTCTTCTCTTTAAGACTTATTTTTTTTTTAACATTTTTTCATTCTTTTTTTTTTTTTTTTTAAAGATTTATTTATTTATTTATTTATGCAAGCACTGGGTACAGTCAGAAGCGTGGGAGGGTGAGATAATTCACCAGAGCCAGAGCAGGGAGCAGCGCAGGCAGAAGGACCGAAGTACACTGCTGTGGGGAGCAGCGGGCGGCAGGAGAGGTCTGCGTGGGACCCTCCTCCGGTGGCCAGGGAGCAGCCGGGGATCGAACCCGCGCTGCAGAGACTGCAGGCAGCTTTGCAACCCCGTGCTCAACCACTGTGCCACCGGGGAGGCCCTTTTTAAGACTTATTACTTGGAAGCTTTTCCTCCTTCACTCTCAGTATTGTGGCTTCTGTTCTCATCACTCCACCAAAAATAAAAAGAAAAGAAAGAAAAAAAAGACTCAACTTTTTTTTAGTGTATAAATCTGCCTTATTTTCATTGCAATTGACCTCTGCATTTGAGGTTATTGATTGCCTCTTCAATTCTTCCATTGATAGCATTATCCCCTTATTACTTTTAACTATTGCTCTTTTCTGACATCTCTATTTTCTGAGTTCTCCGTGCATTTGAGTTACTGTGTCTCTGTGGTTGATCCCTATGTCTTTTCCTCTATCCTTCATCTGTCATGCCTGCAGAGAATCTACAACTCCCTCAGCATTATCTTTTTCCTTGGTTACCTCTCTTTTAGGATTCCTGGACTGGGTTTAGTGTGAAGTGATTCTAATTAATTCCTCTTTGTTCTCTCATTTCTGCTTATCATGCATACTTTGACTTATAGACCTTTTTATTTTTTTTTTAATATTTATTTATTTGTTTGTTTACTTATACATACATACAAGCACTGGGTACAGTCAGAAGCACGGGAGGGTGAGAGAATTCACCATAGCCAGAGCAGGGAGCAGAGCAGGCAGAAGGACCGAAGTACACTGCTGAGGGGAGCAGCGGGCGGCAGGAGAGGTCTGCGCGCCATGTGGGCCCCTCCTCCGGTGGCCGGGGAGCAGCCGGGGATCGAACCGGCGCTGCAGAGTCTGCGGGCAGCTTCGCAACCCAGCTCTCAATCGCTGCGCCACCGGGGAGGCCCAACTTATAGACCTTTTTAAAACCTGTTGCTACTTCTGCTAGAAAGTTGATAAATTCTTTTCTGTTATTATATGAATTCAAACACCCGTGCCTGATAGTAGTTAACTATACCAACCTTTTATTTTTTTTAAAGATGTATTTATTTTTATACAAGAACTGGGGTACAGGCCAGATGCGCAGGAGGTTGAGAGGATTCACCGGAGACAGAGCAGGGAACAGAACAGGCAGACTGACTGCAATACACCGCTGAGGGGAGCAGCGGGCAAGACAGGAGAGGTCTGCTTCTGCTTGCCATGTGGGATTCTCGCCAGCCGGCCAGGATCGAACCTGCGCTCCAGAGGCTGCCGACAGCTTCACAGTGTGGCGCTCAACCACCTGCGCCACCAGGGAGGCCCTATGCCAACCTTTCATGACTAAGCTTAATGCTTGCCTTCCTTCTAATTGTACAAGCGTACCTCATTCATTGTGCCTTACTTGATTGTACTTTGTACATACAGCTGAAGGTTTTTGATAGCCCTGTGTTGAGCAAGTCTGTCAGTACCACTTTCCAACAGTTCAGATAATGGAAACAGCATTTTCTGGCCATAAACATTTTTTTTAATTAAATTTTAAAAAATATTTTTTAAGATTTATTTTTTTATGCATACAAGAACTGGGGTACAGGCCAGAGGTGCGGGGGGTAAGAGGATTCACCAGAGGCAGAATGAGGAACAGAACAGGCATACTGAGTGAAATACACTGCTGAGAGGAGCAGCAGGCGAGGCAGGAGAGGTCTGCTGCGCCATGTGTGTAGCTCCCTGGGTGGCTGGGGATAGAATTCCTGCTGCAGAGGCTACAGAGGATAGCTTCACAGTGCTGTGCTTAACCTCTTGTGCCACCAGGGAGGCCCCATAAAATATTTTTTAATTAAGGTATATATACTGTGTTTTTAAACATAATGCTATTGCACACTGAATATCCTATAGAATAGTGTAGCATAACTTTTATGTGCACAGGGAAACCAAAATTTCATGTGTGTAGTTTTTATTGCAATATTTGCGTTATTGCAATGATTTGGAACCTTATCCACAACATCTCCAAGTATGCCTGTGTTTGTCTCTATGCTTCCTCCCTCTTACTGCCAACACTCAAATATATACATGTATTGCTTATTTTTATTTTCATTTCTTGGCTCATATGTAGTCATTTCATCTCTCTTTGTTATATTGTTTTTAAGACTTAATTGAGCATTATATTTCTCCTGACTTTTTTTTTTAGGATTTTTTACTTCTAATAATTATTTTCTGTTTTGTGAATTTGCTCAGTACTTACCTACTAATGCCTGTTACCATTAGTTTGCCACAGGCATGAAATGTTTTTCTGGGTTTCAGCTTTGTTTCCCTAACTTTGTAAACTTTGTAAAGGATCACTAGGATGTTTTGCTTCTCTTATCTGTACATTGAATATGTTTTAATGCTGTTTTTTTTTTTTTTAAAGATTTATTTATGCATACAAGAGCTGGGGTACAGGCCAGAGATGCGGGGGGTGGGAGGGTGGGGATGAGAGAATGCACCAGAGACGGAATGGGGAACAGAACAGGCAGATTGACTGAAATACACTGCTGAGGGGAGCAGCAGGTGAGACAGGAGAGGTCTGCTGCGCCCTGTGGGTTGCTTCCTGGCAAGGCTGGGGATCGAACTCGTGCTACAAAGGCTGCGGATTGCTTCATAGTACGGTGCTTAACCCCTTGCGCCACCGGTGAGGCCCAAGGTGTTTGTATCTTAATTTCTTTTTGATTTATAGATTTGGGAGTATATTCAATGCCATATACAAATGTTTTTGTTAAATATAATTTTGAGTATTACAAAATCAATCTGCTTTTCTTTATAAACTCTACATATTTAAACTTAATAGAATGGATGATATGAAATGTATTCTAGAAACTTCAAAACTTGTTAAGGCCAGATTTTTCATATTTACATGAATTTGATGACATTTGCTATTTTTGTTAGGTTAAATTATACTGTAAGTAACAAAATATTATTTTTTGATTGTTCATGGTTATAACAAAGTAGGGCAGTATTGCATTAGGCTGTATGTTTATTAATATGTTCAAATTACATAATATTTTTTAAAAGTCAAGAGTTGAAATTTACTTTTTTTCTTTTGAAGGTAGCAAAGGCCTTTTAGGCCTTATAAGATAAACATGTGAAGTTCTTTGTTTAATCCCTAGGCTCCCTTTTTTGGCAGTGGAGGCGCTGTAGCTCCATCTTTTTCTTCTCGAGGACAGTATGAACATTATCATGCTATTTTTGATCAAATGCAGCGGCAAAGAGCAGAAGATAATGAAGCTAAATGGAAAGAACTCCATGGCCAAAGGCTTTCAGAAAGGTATGGCTGTGTTCTGTGTTCTGTAGAAGTTGCTTATGCTTTGCTTCAGAGAAGGTCATGAAAGTTATTGTACATACATATCTTCAGAGGAATTCCACCTGGAGTACATCCAGGATTCCCTAGTGGGGCTGCAGGTCATCACCATTTTGCTGCTGCTGATGCTATTAGAAAAACTTTAGAAAGATTGAAGGCTGTTTCTAAACAAGCTGGTGCAAACAGGTTGGACTGTGATGATCTACAAATTCACCCTTGTGTGTAGTTTGTCTTATGTGTAGCTTAGTGTCTACACTTCGTGGATGTTTTCTTCTTTTATTACATAGAATATTTTTTGCCTTCTGACTGTAGTAATTTTTTTAGGTGCAGTTTGGCCCATGATTACATCTGGTGAACATGTACCTCTTCAACCTAATTTTTGTAGTTTGTTTATGTATTATAGGCTAAACACAGGATTTAAAGGAACATGTGATAACTTTCAAGCAACATATGGTTTAAATCATAATATATTTAAATGGAATCATACTTTATGTAAAACTTGAAAGCATTCTTTTTTGTTTTCCTTTTCCTCATCAATTGGAACCCCACTTTTCTTTGTTGCTTTTCTTTGTTTTTACAGTCATCTATGAATTATGTTTCTCTGTGATCCTATTCATTTTTCTTCCTTTTCTTTCCAATGAATTTAATGTGGTAGTTTTAATTTATATTGTTTTAATTTACATAGTTTCATTTTTATTAAGTATGCATAGTAGACATTTCTATTTCATATATAAAACATACTGGCTAAGAAACATTAGATAACAATTTGTGAAAGTTAATTTACATTGCCTTTTCCTTATCATTGGAAGGAGAATACTTTCAAATGTCATAAAAATCTTTATGATCAACCCAGTTATAAAAAATATAGTTGAGCAGAGATAATTCAGGTCAATTAACATTACTACTTATACATGGTAGCCTGAAGTATTAAGCTCGTTGGTAGATTCTTTTCATTTTTGAGAAAGGATGGTTACAGACTCACACATAGGCATATTTTTGATGATGTGACTGTAGAGGTCTACTCCCTAAACACTCTTACAAATATTTCTCAGCTTCTTGAGATACTACTAATGAGCAGACTGAAAAGCTCTTGATTTAGATGGGTATAGAATTTTAAAATATTGGGTACTTTAAAAATTAAACATGATAACCAAACTCAATGAACCTTTCAGATATACTTGTTGAATTTATTTTGATGTTATCTGAGGACTTGGTAGAAAATGGAAGATCAGCAAGTATCATATAATTTTCAAAAATCAAATTCTATAGCTAGAGACTAATTGTTTTCATTTTGATGCCAGGCTAGGCTTAAAATAGGGTCAAGAGACACCTTAAAAGGAAACAGTAATCACTGATGCTGTATAAATTCACGAGGACTGAATCATGTCAAACATAATCTTTCTTTCTTGGTTATAGGCTAGAACTGCAGTTTTTTTTTTTTTTTTAAAGATTTATTTATTTATTTATGCATACAAGAGCTGGGGCACAGGCCAGAGATGCATAGGGTGAGAGGATCCACCAGAGACAGAGTGGGGAGCAAAACAGGTAGACTGTAACAAACTGCTGAGGGGAGCAGCAGATGAGACAGGAGAGGTCTGCCTCGCCATGTGGGTTGCACCCTGGCTGGGGATCGAACTCATGCTACAGAGTCTGTGGATTGCTTCATAGTGCAGTGCTTAACCCCTTGCGACACCAGGGAGGCCCCTAGAACTGCAGTTTTTAAGAACTATAGCTTTGCTTGTGTGCTGAGGAACCATCACAGTTATTCTACAGTTTTGAGGGAAATACAACATTTGTTGGAAAAGTGCAGACTACTTCTGTTAAGCAGTTTGGACTCAACTATTTAATAAATGAAACTATTAGGTTTATCTTTTGACCAAGAGGCATTGTGAAAAATTACTTAGACACCTGATAGAGTATATAAATTTTAGTATTATATTGTTGCCAGGATGTCTCAGTGTAAATAAGGTGAAGAAATAAGATTGTTAGTTGGATTATTTACTGGATAAAGAATTGTATTCAGAGGATGCTGGTTAATATTTTGATCATTTTTAAATCATAACCTTTGAGTGACATCCTCCTTTTGAAGGGAGGGGAGGCTTTGAAAAAAATGTTCCGATAATCTACTAAGACAGAGAAAATGCACTACTAGTTGATGTATTTTTCAAAACATAACTTAGTTATGATCATAAAGAGAAGCTGTAACAGGAAGTTTGTGTACCTCAGTAGCCAAAGTCCAAGTAGAAGCACAGCCAATAACTTGCTCATCTTTCTTCCTCACCTCCAGATTTTTCTGCAGTTGATACTATGCTATGAGTTCTCTCATTTCTGGGTTGAGTTTTACTTGTTTTTATATCTCCTATGCTTAGCATGGTACAGGTACAATATATATTAGATGTTCGAGAAATACTTATCAATAGAGTCTAAGCTTAACATTTTGCATTCTCTTAATAATTGTTAGAGCAAGATACATACATACAATTGCAGAAGTTTAAAGCAAATAACTGTGCTTTTAACTTTTCCCCTAACCTATCCATACTACTTTTTTTTTTTTTATAGAGGCATGTTTTATTTATTTATTTATTTGTTTGTTTGTTTTTGTTTATACATGCACTGGGTACAGTCAGAAGTGCGGGAGGGTGAGAGAATTCACCAGAGCTAGAGCCGGGAGCAGAGCAGGCAGAAGGACCAAAGTACACTGCTGAGGGGAGCAGCGGGCGGCAGGAGAGGTCTGCGCGCCATGTGGGACCCTCCTCCGGTGGCCGGGGAGCAGCTGGGGATTGAACCGGCGCCTCCGAGGCCGCGGGCAGCTTCGCAACCCAGCGCTCAACCGCTGCGCCACCGGGGAGGCCCTATCCATACTACTTTTAATGATTATGATATTAAAGGATTTCAGAGAACACTTTCTACTGTCTCTTTCAAAACTTATAGAAATAAGCTTTTCATTCTTTTAGTTCATTTTTGAAATTGCTACTAAACTGCTTTGATTTCATTTCAGTACTGATTAAAGAAGGTTCTTAGATGTTTTGAACAGAGTTCAGAAATAAATTTAACTTTTGAGATTCTTATTTAAGTACAGCATTTTAGTTTTATTTATCTATACGTAGAAACAGGTTAAATAAATCTAAGGAAAACCTTAGATTTGGAGTAGTTGTTTGGAATTCACTGCTATTTAAAATAGTTAAGAGGGCCTCCCCTGGTGGCGCAGCAGTTGAGTGCTGGGCCGCGAAGCTGCCCGCAGCCTCTGCAGTGCTGGTTCTATCCCTGGCCTCAGGGCGAGGGTCCCACATGGCGCGCAGACCTCTCCTGCCGTGCCTGCTGCTGCTCCCCTCAGCAGTGTATTTCGTCAGTCTGTGTGTTCTGTTCTCCGCTCTGGCCCTGGTGAATTCTCTTACCCTTCCACGCTTCTGTACCCAGTGCTTGTATAAATAAATAAATAAAATCTTTTTTAAAAATAAATAAATAAAATAGTTAAGGATGTGGTTTAGGTAGAAGATACTAATTTATGGGTAGCTTATTCATTAAGAGGAAGGTTTTATTTTGTGTCAAGTTATTTCACATTCTCTCACAAAATATTTAGAATATGTATAATTTTTAACTTTGTGGAATATATAGTGTTCAGAATTTCTGACTTTCCTACTTCTCTATAATACTCAGGCAAAAAGGACAGATAGCTGTGGAAAGAGCTAAACAAGTGGAAGAGTTTCTACAGCGAAAACGGGAAGCACTGCAGAATAAAGCTCGAGCTGAAGGACATATGGTATGATTTTTTTTAAAGATATTGAACATATTGATATTCAGGTGAAGGTGTGGAATAAGGTAGGTATAAATGAAAAGAATTATAATCTTTTTCAAATATTTGCTCTAAGTATTTACAAAGTGTAAAGTTGTACTATGTCTTCTTTAACCCCTCTTCTGCTATAGCTTTTACAACCAGGGTAAAATTCTGGTTTTGCTTAGGTTTATAGGAAGTTAGTTCATAGTTGTATCCTTCCATTAAAGAGAATGAAGGTAGGTATAACAACTTTATTGTTTATATTAAGTGAGTTCTTACATTGCTGTGTTTCTCCAAATATTACTGCTTTTGGGTTTTTGGGGGGAGCTATGCTATGTTCACTCATTCTTTTATTCAACAGATGTTAATAAAGCCTTTGCAACATGTAGGATAAATATGTGAATGATGTATTGGCTATACCCTCCAGGAGTTTATAGTTTTGTAAGGAGGTATATATGTATGTAAAGAATATAAATAGGAAGTTAGTTTTATTTTCAGTTTTTTCCCAATTATGTTTATTGAGGTAAACTTGGTTTACATGATTGTATCTGCTTTGGGGGTTGGGTATAGGCTCAAACCTCTACAAGGGTATGTTTCTATACCATGCCTACCTGCCACCAGTACCCCAGTAGTCTTCCACTTGTTGCACTGGGCCTGGTCCCACCCCACCACCCTCTTTCTAGCTGCCTCAGTTTTGCATTTCAGATGTCAAGGGTTTGTTACGGGTTTGCTTTTGTTTTAAATAATTTTAACTAGTAAAAACTTGTTGACATGATTCTAATTGCCACTCTGCAGGAGACTCAAAGGAAACCCTTTTTTAGATCTCCAGTATTCTCTTTCTCTGTAGATCTTCAGTGTTCTCTCTCTCTCTCTCTGTAACTCTTTTATCTGGTAATTCTTCCTGAAAATTTTAGTGATCTTCAATTTCCTAAGCTATAACTGCTATTGCCTGAACTCGGGGAGACTGCTCTGTGTACTGTGGATTGAAAACTCTTACAGTGTAACCCGTTGGCTTATTATTGAGCTTATCTCACTTGTTTCCCTGCTCTCACACGGTGTTGTGCTGCCTATTGTCCAGTGTTTAAAAACCATTATTTTTTATATTTTGTCCAGACTTCTAGTTGTAAAGTAGGAAGGTAGATCTGGTCCCTGTTACTTCATCAGGGCTGCAAGTGAGAGTCACTAATGATAATTTGTCTGGATAAAGACATCACTAATTTTAAATATTGTCTTCCACCTTTTTTGTTGATAATGAGATATTCATGTGATTATGTTCTGGATCATTTTCATTTTTATGGGATATTTTTTCTTTGAAAGCATTCATGACCATTTTTCTATTAATGTTCTGAAATTTCACTTGAATATTTCTCAGGTTTTTTTTTATTGACCCAACTCATACTCTAACTGGAAGATCTCAATATAAGTACTTATCTTTGGTTATGGGACATTCTTAATTAACATTTCTTCAAATATTGCTGCTTCTCCTTTTTTTCCTGAAGGAACTGGTATTAAATGGGTAAACTTGGAACCTATATATCAAATGTCCTTTTTCCTATATTTCTTTCATCCTTTTTATCTCTTTCTTCCTTTTGACTATGTGTGAAAAAATTCTTAGGCCTAAATTTCTACTCTCTAACATATTCTTTTGTCTGCTCTGCTTTTCAGGCCCTTTATTGAGTTGCTTTTAATTTTAGAAATTTGAATTTTCATGCCCATCAATTCTAATTAGTTTTCCCCTAAACCTCCTTACTCTTATGTTCTCATTTCTCTGAAAAGACTATTGTTATTAAAAAATCTTATTTTTAGTGTTTATCATAGTTTGTCTGTAGTTTACAGTCTAATTTAGACAAAAATATACACACTAGTAATATGAAACTGAATAAAAGTGAGAGCTGATGTTAACTGTGGGAAAGGTAAGAGGTCTCATAGACATTAAGTTCTAAGTTAGAACTTCTCTACTATGAGGTAGTAATACTATTTCAAATTTGCCTCTGGACGCCGACCCTATATCTGGGCATACAGCAAGGGAGAAGAGGGAAGGTGAGAGCTCAAAACAGAAAGGGAAGAATACAGGGGACCATGATGATGTATCAGTGATGAGTGCAATGGCGGTAAAACTGTGGGGACTACACCTGAGGGGAGAAATCAAATGCTGTCCAAAAATTAACAATCATGTAAAAAAAAATTAAATATAAATTTTAAAAAATTGCCTCTCTGTATTAGTTTTCTAATGTTGTGTAACAAATTACCATACATGTAGTACCTTAAAGCATAACATATTTATTACTCACAGTTTCTGTGGGTGAAGAATCTGGTTTGTTTTAACTGAGTCTTCTACTCATAGTTTCCTAAGGCTGAAGCCAAGATGACAATTAACTGTAACTTCACTTGGAGGCTCATTTAAGCCAAGATGATCTTTGCTGTTCCAGGGCCTTAAGATGTTGGTAGGCCTCACTTCATTGCTACTGTAGGACTAAAGTCTCTGTTGAATAGTATTTGACTGTGAACCACTCTCAACTATGAAAGATTATTTCTCAGGTCTTTGTCATTTTACCTCAGCAGCAGAAAACTTCCTGGTCATCAATCCCTGTCATGCTTCAGATTCCTGACTCCACTTCTACAACCAGCCAGAGAAAACTTTGCTTTTAGAGTGCTTAAGTGATGATATCAGTATAATATATGTTTCTTTTGAGCTTTATACTTATTATTAAGCAAATATTGAAATAAATTCATTCATAACCCATACAATATTATGAGAGTTGAAATATTCTTGGTGCTTATAGATTTGAAATGAAGTTGTCCTTTCAAACATCAGTGTATCTTGACTATTTAACCCAATAAATTATCATTGAATATCCAGAAACCAAAAACAAAGGTGACATTTTAAAAATGGAAGATAATTTCAAAGTAAAAGTGATTCTTTCCCTCATTTCAAAATGTCAAGTGGAAAGGTAAATACATGGGAAAACATGCAAATCTCACTAAATAAACTTGAGGAAAAAATACCTTGTCAATTAAATACAAACCTGAAATGAATCCTGGAGATTTTAAGAATTACAACTATTCATGTAAATAGTTACAGATAAGTAATTAATTGTACCTAATTAATGGAAATTTTTTACACCTTTATCTTCTTTGTATATACTTATTTTCCCATATATTTAATAAAAAAATGATACTGCTATCAAGATACATAATTTATAAAACAAGATCATTTTTATAAGCAATTTTTCTTAAGAGGGAGAAATTTAAGAGAAGCAGTGAACACTGAAGCAGAATGATCACAATATTCTCAAAGTAAAAATGTGTGCCTCTTATTTAAAATAGTAGACTAATCTAGACAGTAGGAACAGCACGAGAAGGCTGGAAATCAGAACTGAGACTAAACAGACTAAACTGCCAAGAAGATAATCTTTGTCTTCAGTTTCTCTCTTGACTTTAAACCAAGTGGAAAGTCAAAGGAAAAACTCCTCATTCCCATTGTAGGATGACTAACGAATACAATGGAAAGACTTATCCCTCAATATGACCTATTAACATTGCCTATAAAAAAGAAGAAATTTAGGAAAAACTATACTTTCATCTCATGATTTAAAGACAGTTTTAGTTTAAATCAATCTTGTAACTGTAAGACAATGTACCATTGTAAAAAGAAATTGTTGGTTATTTGTTTTATCAGGCGGTTCACCTGTCAGGCCCAGACTCTAAGTTCCTGTCTCTCTTCCATGTGTTGTAGTTCAAGCTACTTTTGTCAGAGTTCTGTGGTGCCTCTTCAGAGTGGCCCACGTGTACACCATCTGCTGTCATCTCTCTGGGGCCTAGGTTGAAATCTGTTAGTTCAGTGCTCAAATTCTTGGGTATGCAAAACATGATTCTGTCCACATACTGGGGTCATTTCCTGAGCTCTCCCAGTCTGCCGTTAACTCATTACTTACCCATTCCCTGGGCTCCACCCTTTAGTCTTATGGCTATAACCTTACATACCAGGGATTTTGTTCTCTGGTGCTGAGCACTCTGAGGATAGAGAGAGAAAGAGCTGATAGATTTTGTCTCTGTATTTTGAAGGCTTAGCGTCACGGGAGACTGAAGTATCCCTTCTTGAAAGTTTTTTGTTACTCTAAGCTCCTGGCTGTCTTTACTACTCCCACAGCAGTGATAGTCCCTGGGAAATGGGCATGAGAGGAAGGACAAAAGGAGAGAGGGAAAAATGGGAAATTCCTCCTTTCTCCTGAAATTTTTGAGCCCAAACTAGAGGATTCTTTTCTCTCTCTGTTATCACCGGAATACTCGGTTCCAGCTTTCAGCCAAGTTAGGATTGTGATAGAGGATACCATATCATGACCACATGTTTGGTACTCTGCATTCCGGCATTCTTAATTTGCTTGCTGCTATTTACCGACCAGAGGCCTTATCATCCAGGTTTTGTGGTTGTATTCATTACAGAGGAAGGATGGCAAGTACTTATCTAAATTCATCTTTATAATCTTCATACCCACTGTTTTTCCTGTATTACCCATCTTACTATAGAGAAGAACCATAAAAGATAACTGAGGTTTTTGTTTGATTTACTGACAATTCAAGTCATCTTTTAGTACCTTCTCTCTGTCACTGTTTCACTGTACTCACATCCAGTCTACTGACCAACTCTCATATTTTTTGCTTTCTGAATATCTGGTTCCCATCTCCTTTTTATTTTGACCTCGTTGGGCTCCTTATTTCTTGTTGGCCTTTTCATATCTTTACTTCTAGTGCATCTATTGCTTAAGCTGTCAATGTGATCTTTCTAAAGCATAGTTGAAAATATTATCTGCTTAAAACTTTTCTGTAATTTTTTTTATTGCTTAGATGATAAATTAAGAACTCTTCAGCTTAACACAAAGCTTTGTTCTTTTGACTTTCTTGCCACTTTTTGGTTCTTCATCTGTTAATCTTCAGCAATACCATATTGTTTGCATCTCCCTTAAAGTGCTCTTTTGAGTGTTTAC